TTGTCCAGATTTATGATCAGACAATAATCTACAGAATCAAAACCCTAAATGTTCTAATTGTAATGTAATTAAGAATACATCAGTATTGAAGAACTGTTGATAATAATGGATAATAATGGATAATAATAATAATAATGGTGGAAACATAACAAAAACACTTCATCCATTCATGTCTCACTCGCAACTTCTGCTGCTGGTTTTTCCATAAGGATCATTCTCAAGTATAAGTCTCTGTTTTGCTTTGATGAATTACAACACTGCCAACGCCAAAATGACTGGAAGCAGTGCAGTGGTTCCCAACCTTTTTTGGCCTGTGTACCTCATTGCTAACATAGTAAGGGCATGAGTACCTCCTCTTAAAGTGTACAAATAATATCTTTCACAAACCCCAAACTCATATGTGTCATTATTTTAAATTTGAAGTTTGTTTTTAACTCAATAAACACAAATAACAATCAATCAACACATTTAAATGTTAATCGGATAATACATTATACATTCAACACACGTGCATGGAGGTTTTCAGAATTATCTGTTAACGTTTTCATTACAAAAATACTGTTTAAATGCGACAAAATGTGATCGCTGTAAACCCAGAAGTAACTATTAACATTAATGAAAAAAATCAGGACACATTTTTGGAGGGTCTGATTATTGATTTAGGTTGAGTATATATGGGTCACTCAACTTTGATGTCCAGATGTTTTTTTTTTTTTTTCAGTTTTCATGCAGTTCAGGTGAGTTCCTTCAATGGTAACGTTCAGTTAAATAAGTAGCTATTGCCGAGGTGATACGCTGGTCATTATTGGAAAATAAATACCAACCGGGCAAAGTCAGTAGGTCATTTAATTTTCAACATCAATTGAGATTTAACTGCTTTAGAGACTCACTCACATGAAAGATTCTAACAGCAGTAATTACAAAACTAAAAAACAAGAAATCAGTGATTGGAACACAGTTTTGTCTGTAAATATCAATCAATTAAGATGTTTATTTCAGAAAATGTACAACACAAATTTACAAACAAACAAAATGCTTAAAATCACATATACACGTTCTAGAAAGAAATAAGCACTAGATTAATAGCCAAACTACCTAAATAAATGCTCGCAAACCCTAATCCATATCATTTGTAGTTCACTATCACATGCGCAAACACTACTACATTTCAATTTAAAGGTGCACTATATTAAATCTTTTCCAAAAACCATGTCAGCAGCTACTAAAAGAACCACTGAGAAAGAAAACCCCCTCCAAGTCATATTCAAACACCACGCATGCACTCATATCCAGATTTACAAAAGCAAAATATCAAACAAAATATAAACAGCAGTATCAGCAGCAGAGAGCGCAAAACCACAGATGTTTAAGAACAAAATGGTGAATGTGACAAACGGTTACTGAGCTAGAGCAGTTTACTTTTCAATGTAAGTCAATAGGAGCCAGAGTGAGTTGGAGAACAACTTGATCCATGAACACTTGGGCTTGATTGAGCGAGCGGGTTAGCATTGTCCATCTATATACAGTCTATGGGTGCTACGACAATATGCAGGAGTGTTGAGTCGTTTGAAATCTAATAATCTTCAATCATACATGAATCCTACACGCTGCCATGCAAAATATACACTAATATGGACTAAAACTTAGCAGAAGTATCTCGGCCATAAAGGTAAGTATTGCACACCTCACTTCCACACAGACAGAGAATGCCCCTAATGTCTTCTTGATTGCACTGTTTCTAATTCATTACTGACTGAGCTGTAACAGTTTTGCCTCAGCGCCTCTCTGCTCAAACTGACACGTATTTCCCCAAAACAGGCCCGTTCTCTAAAGTAGATTAGCACAGTTTGCCTGTCAGCTACAGATGTAATATATTTTGCCTGCCTCAGCCACTATCCCAGTGCATGTCTGGAGGCCGGCAGTGTTATGTGAGCACAAATGTGTGTCTTTTCTTGAACAGCTCCTGTCTGGGAGGCATCGCAGGCAGCTAAGAGCTCAGCAGCAGCAGGATCAGCAGCAGCAGCAGCATCAGCGGCTCAGTCCCCCAGGACATGCTGCAGCTCCTTCTCCTCATAGCCATGAAAAGCAATCAGGGCCCGGCCGTCTCCCTTGGACATACCTCTGCCTTTAATTACAGCACAGAGAAGAGTGACTATACCAGCGTGTCGTGGCTCTAAAGCAGGTCTCTATGCTCCACTGAAGCCCAATCCACAACAAGAGCTGCACATTAGCAAAATAACCTAAGTTCTTGTCTGTACTATGCTGTCACAACATTACCATATCAGTGTAATTGGTTTGGGCTCAAACAAATAATCAAATGTTCGCAGTTGTTGTTCGCAACTAATCGATATCGTCAAAATAATGTCGTGATTGGTGATTTTTTTTTTTACTTTCCATAGACTTTTTAAGACAAGAAGTTTTATGCTGATTCTATGACTGCAGAATGAAATGACTGTGTTCTCAACGTTTTATATATTTTTTAATCAAACAACCCAATGTGTAACAGTCATCTCCACAAAGGTATGTTGGTCATGAATAAATTAACGACTAAGGTTTTCCGAATAATATTTGAGGATTGTTGATTATGAGAATTTGTGTGAGGCCAGGTTGCTGCATAGAAAGTGTCCAGGATTCAGGTGTTTATTTAGGGTGAAAATAGTGAAAACAAGCTACTAGATTACTCAGAGGTAATAATCCATTTAATTGTCGATTACTAAAAACATTGATAGCTGCAGCACTAATATGGTTGTTATTCTTTAGCGACAGAAGCAGAAAACTATAATTATGTTAAATACAGAGATTGAGGTCAAACAGTTGGCAACTATTCATGCACATAAATGATAATGTTTTATTTAAACCATGGATTAATTTTACATAGACATTTTAGTTTGTTTGGACTGTTAAACATGTCAGTGGGTCGTCCCAATTCCAATAAGGGTTATGGAAAAATAATAGAAAGTACAATATTAAACTATAGGAATTTCGGAAAGTAAAAATAACCAAAAAATTATAAAGGATAAAGGTCAACATTTTAAAATATTGACCAATATCCAAACTAAAATGAAGCCGTGTGGTGATAATAAAAAGTAAAAAACTGTCATGTATTTGTTAAAAATGCCCAAAAGATATATATTATAGATGACCACGTGGCTCAAATTGGTAATGAGGTTAGAGTTTTGTAAATCACTAAAATAGCCTCCTGCTTGTCAATATAATGAATGCAATTAGTGATCACAAATATAATCTCTGTACATGAAGGACTCAGAATGCCTAACAAGAATGCTAAATATTCAAGTCTTCACAACAGATCCAGGTAAATCCCAAATGTATATCCTAGGAGCACAACTCATTTCAAATATTGATCCAAAAATATGATTAGCATATATAAACAACAAGGCTACCACTTGTCAAACGAGAGATTGATGATGATCTGGCTTTTTCTGCATAATTGAGACTCCTGTGAGCCTACATGGAGCAGGCCTGAGGCGATGGAGGAGCGCACATGGGCCAGGGAAGATAAGAGCCATGTACACAAGCTGCCGCTTCACTGCAGCAGCATAACACCCAGATAGCTTTAGATACAAATTTTCTGTACATAAAATCCTGCAGCACTGTCCCTGCTAATGTGGAACACAGACCCGGTGCCAAAATGTGTCATTGGGCTCAATTTCTCACCCAATTGAAACTGAAAGCAGATCGGCACTTAAGCAAAGGCAATGGAGTCTGACCAGGAGCTGTGATAGTTGTACTGAGTGGCCGATGGCAGAAGCAGAGATGGTTCACCCGGATAATCTACATATGTTACAGGTTTGGTATTAAAGTCAAACACTGCCTTATTACATCTAAAAGTCCTCTGTGATGAGCAAAAGGAAAACAGAAATACAATATGAAAGGTGAAATACATTTAAAGCAATCACATCCACAAACTGGTAACATGTGTTGACACACGTCTCCCAACAGCTAGTCTTGTCTCAAGCAGTGATTTGTCTGGGCTGCAGTGGATGGATGTGACTGGGACATCCGGTAAACATGTGTGAGAAGACATCTTTAAAGAACCCTGAGCAGAGGTGTGAGCTCCAGCTGAACCAGTGACCCCTCAGTGCAGGCATTCACTCACGCCTTGCTGCACCTGGGTGTCCTCTGCTGTCAGAATGCTTAGACCAATTTGAGAGCGTTGTGCCTATAAACCCTATATGAATCATTTATTAGCCTTATCACAGTAGAGGGGCCTGGCTGGCGGTAAGATGATGTGTTATCCCTTTGGGTTTCAATGTCCCAATCATGAATCATTCATTAGTTTGGGATATAGATTATTCCCCATTTATACATTCCTCCTCCGTTTTGGGAAGCTCTTCTCTGGGTGCATGGCGCTGATTCAAAATGACGTCCACAGGCCAATCTCAAAAACACAACACTCGGGCCATGAATGGCATCAATATAAGCGACCACACGTGGCACGTGTACTTGGCACTATCTGTGAGCTTAAAGCATGGACTAACATACAGTAACATGCAGCTATTGCATATGATGATAGACAAACCTATTGAGCAGAGCCGAGTGTATGTTGGCTACAACAGCTGTCCCACAGAGGGCTGCTACTACACCACATGCCTCGAGTGTGGATGAATAAATGTCCTGAGCTGACATTGAAAATGTGTATTTATGGATCGTTGTGAAGACATTAAGCTGTCATAGCTGATGGATCTGACTTCCTATTGACACACAGGCTTAAAAGGCAGTATAGTATCGTTGCCTACCTCCAAAGCGTGTGCACCCAAACTGCGATTTTTTTCCTCCTTCTTCTTCTCCCTTCGTCGCAATGGGATCCTTCTCAGCAGCTTTTTGGACAGTATCGGATATGCGTCTTTTCTGCCCCGATATGCACACACTTCCCCTGCATGTTAGCCCCCCGCCCTCCCGCCGCCGCCTCAGCAGCAGCAGCAGCGGTAGCAGCCCGGGCCTGGCCTCCAGAAAAGAGCAGGTGGACGCGCCTCTCAGTGATGGAGACAGCGCGGCTCTCCTCTCCTCCGCCGCTCCATTTTCACTCACGGCCCAATTCGTATTCCAGGAAACGCGTTAAGCGGCAGCAGACATGTCCTGGCGTCGCTGCGGTGCTCTGGCTGTCACGCTCCTTGTTCGCGCCACCTCCTGGACTCCTGTCTATGTTACGAGCTGCTTGATGTTGCCATTGTCGCGGGGTATTTTTTTTTTTTTCCTTTCTGTTTTTTTGCAGCTGGACCTCTCCTCCCCTCTTGGTAGCGCGCAGTCTCGTATGCGCGCTCTCTGTGCCTTTCCTCTCCTTTCGGTTCCTTCGCGTTTTGGACCTATCTATGAGCGCGCACACAGTCGACAGGGCGCGCTGGTATGGCGCTTGTGTGGACGACAGACGCTCAGAGCGAATCAGGCGAAGGGAGCCCACATCCAACTGCTCTGTATCATAACAGGGCAACTGCAATCACATGCATAATGAATGGGCCTGTGCGAGATGATACGTCTGCACACCCATATGTATGTGGACGCTGTTTGCATTTAGGCTCTGGCCATAAACACCCAACCAAAGCACTCAGCTGGACTCAGGGAAACATCCCAGAAGGCTAATCGAGGCACTAGAGCACCTTCGGGAATACATCTGGAGGTGCTGTCTAAAAAAGAAGCAGGATATAGTCTATTATATAAGTCAACTGAGGACACAGAGAGGAGCAAATATACAACACTAGCACTGCTTCTGCTGTAACTGATGCAAATATACAGCAGTATTCTGAGGACACTGGGTAAAGCAAATATATAGCAGTGTTCTGTTATGTTTATTTAGTTAGAAATAGCACCCATGCAGACAAACCCTGAAGGTACAGTATGCATTACAAGCCTGAAATAATATAATGATAAATACATGTGTATCATATTCATTGTCTCTTTGTTACATTCTTTGGATGATTAGTTTAGCTGCTAAGTAAACCTTTGCAGATGGTGACGTTCAGTGGCATAGCACCTGTGTGCGGAAGCAACTATAGTGATATGTATTGGTTTCCTTCTTTTTTAAATTCATGTTCCTTTAAAAAGGGTTTGAGTCTGAAAAAAGATAATTATAACAATATCATAAATATTGTCTACTGTGGAAGAGCATGTTCATGAAGCACACGGTTGTTAACTTGAACTTAGGTCAGGAAATAATCAAAGTACTTTCACTGGAGCCCTTTAGAAAATAACTTTTACCACCTCTGTCTAAATGTCAGCTTATCTGATCGACTGTTCTTTCATTCAAATGTTATAATAAAATGTTTGAATTCCAATATCCCCAATCAATGAGCGCCCAGCACCTCCTCTCGGCTGCTTGGTCATTTGCAGTAATGATTTCTTGATTAATCTCTAAGTAGTGTGAAAAGAAGCCCCGGGGACTGGTCTGCAGCGGTCAGAGAGGGAATGGACGCGCCACTTTCTCATGTGCTGAAATGTGTTCTTTTGTCGTCAGTGTGGGTCTGACCATGACCATGACCCAATAGATTATATCAAATCTTCACCAAACTCCCTGCAGGAAAAGGACCCAACATATAAACTGAATAAAGATGAAGACAAATTTCAATACAACCCTTTGTTCTCATCATGATAGTACAAACTGATGTGTAATATTGACATCCTATAGCTGGGAGGTCTACTGAAAAGAAATTGCATCTGTGGATATAATTACATACATGAAATCCATTATTCACCCTCGCTCTGAGAAGGAGAGGTTCTGCAGGTCTTTCCTTCCTGCTTCTCTCAGACTGTACAACAAACAATGAGGACGAATGAACACTGCCAACCTGATTTCACGTGTCATGCGTCAGTGCAATATCCTTAAGTAATGTCAGAATGTGCAATAACCACATGTCACTGTCACTTTACTGAGTCACTGTGTCCCAGAGCAGAAGTTTGTTTACATCTGCTAATGTACAGATGTAAACATACTGCTGCTAATGTACATATGTAAACATACTGCCGCTGATGTACAGATGCTAACATACAGTATAACTACATTGCTTGCACTAGAATACACAGTACTTTATACTTGCCTCTTATTTTGCAGTATGTAAAATGTTTATACTTCTTTTTTATTATGTTCAAGATAGAGATTGTATACTTGTTCTTTGATGCTAGAGTTAGAGATTTTGTTTCATTTGAATTAGTGTATTAGTATAGCTATTGTTCACTAATCTTGTGTTGTGTGCTCCTCATTCCTACTGTTATGTAACTTGTGATGCAACACTGAAATTTCCCCACTGTGGGACGACTAAAGGATCTTTTCATCTTATGAAAGTATTTACTCATCACTTTTAACAGGAGATTTGAGATTATTTTCCGGTAGATATGAAGCTAACGCAAATTCAGACTGGGAAGACCTGCATGCCCCAGTTCTCACCTCACACAGCTCTGCCAGCCTCGAGCCTCAGCCAACCTCACAGCTCGATCAGCCCCCCTGCCAACCACTGACAGCAAAGCCGGCAGTTTAAAAGCAGCCACTTCCTACTAACCAGCCCTTCCTGAAGCTCTTTATACCCACCGCCTCCCCAGCACCTCCTCGGCTCCTGCTCTGGCTCCTGCTCCGCCTACGCCCCATTCACACCATGCTTCTAGCCACCACCAGTGCTTGACCCCGGGGGATCTGAGATCATCTCAGCAGCTGTGATCTCCCCTCTGCAAGTGTCACTACCAGGGTCAATGCGCCAAACAATAAATCTTTCTAAATGCATTAACGTGTCTTGGTCTCTCCAGGTTGAATTGAACAAAGCATGTTCAGCTAGGTCAAAGTTAAAGAACATTTTTTAAATAAACAATTCATCATAACATTTGAATAAAATAAAACAAAGTAAAAATACATTTTAGAACAAGTAAAAATACATTTTAGAACAAGTAAAAATACATTTTAGAACAAGTAAAAATACATTTTAGAACAAGTAAAAATACATTTTGTAACAAAATAAATGATAGGGTAATCACAAGCCACGGTAGCTCGAATTAACCTTACCATCAACGCTGTGAATATAGCGATAGCAAATCCTTTCAGGGGCCACTAAAAAGAGCCACTTCCAGTTGATGTAAATGTGAACTGTGTTCAGGACAATGCAAGCTGGTGAAAACCTCTGGCATTTACAGCAGCACATGTTGGTGTCATGTTTTCTTGGCTTTACTATGTTTGAACATAATAAAGCCTAGAAAAGTCTGTGGGCCAGTCCTTGATACACACCTTGTACAGTCTGCGGCTGTCAGACTGTACAATGAACAATGAAGACAGATGAATACTTCTGAACTGACCTGACATGTCAGGCATTTGTGCAAAAATGTCAGAATGTGCAATATGGGACCACACGTTTCCACATCCTGCTAACATGTACAGTAGTATCACAGCTCTAACATGTACAGTAGCATCACAGCTCTAACATGTACAGTAGCATCACAGCTCTAACATGTACAGTAGTATCACTGCCTCGTGTTGCTGACATGTACAGTAGTATGGATGGCTGGATGACCCTGTGAAATTACCTCAATGTTCTGCTTTGTTTTAGCAATGCACAGAAATTGTCATAGTGGCCTTAGATTGGACACCAGATTGGAGTATATAGGCCGAGACTTTAAATGTTTATACATGTTATACTTTGCATATTATACTTTGAGGTTTGATTTTTGATTTTAATTGCTGAGATGACCAATGCACTGAAAAAAGTGACTCAAAGATAGCAGGAGCATTGTGAGTGTGAAAGACCAGTGCATTTTAATCTACAATGTTAAAAAAAAAAGTATACTGTGGACAGATCTAGACTGCTTTACCTAGCCATACTTAGGGATAGGATTAATGATGTGTGTAAGCCATAAGAGTGAGTTAATTTTTCTTACTAGATTATTTATGAATAGTGTTTTATGTTGGAGGTTTATGACTGTAGAAGAAACAAATCTTCAAGAAACCAGTGTTGAACCAATGCAGCAAGTGAAAACAGTTGATCTAATTATTAGCTTTGTTTCTTTTCATCTTATGTGACTTGTGCTAATGGTCTCCATAGAAACCTCACATTTGTTAAAACCGCAGCTCCAAAAATACCTGTGAGAAAAAAGTGACCACCGATGACTTAACTTTTGAACTAACAAGCACAAAGATATAAAAGTACTGGTGGCACAGGAAAACAATGGCAAGGCAAGGCAAGGCAAGTTTATTTGTATAGCACAATTCATACACAAGGCAACTCAAAGTGCTGAACAAGATAGCATTAAAATCATAAATAATCACAGAACATTAAAAAGAAAGATAAAAATATACAATCCCTCAGTTGTATGCACAGCTAAACAGAACTGTTTTTAACCTGGTTTTAAACATTGTCATTGAGGAGGCCTGTCTCACATCTTCAGGAAGACTGTTACAGATTTTAGCAGCATGAATCTGAAAAGCAGCCTCCCCATGTTTAGTTCTGACTCTGGGCACTAACAGGAGTCCAGTCCCTGTGCTCCTCAGAGTCCGGGCTGGTTCGTATGGTACTAACATGTCACTAATATATTTTGGTGCGAGGCTATGGAGAGACTTGTACACAAGCAGAGCTGTTTTAAAGTCTATTCTCTGAGCCACAGGAAGCCAGTGCAGAGACCTGAGAACTGGACTAATATGGTCGTACTTCCTGGTTCTAGTCAGGACTCGAGCTGCTGCATTTTGAATGTACTGCAGCTGTTTTACAGCCTGTTTGGACAGACCTGTGAGCAGGCCATTGCAGAAGTCTAACCTACTGGAGATAAATGCATGGATAAGAATCTCCAAGTCTGCTTTAGACACTATGTTTTAATGGACTGGGAGAAATACCTTTGGAATGTTGTCTCTGAGCAGCGATGCAGAGAATACTTTGATGATGTACTGAGTTAGAATACCTGCTCTAAAATATATTTACAAACACATTCATGCAATATGAATACGTTCTGCCTGATTTGAATACTACTTACATGTAAAATGTATTAAAACACACATTTCTTCCCCTCTGCAGTTGTACTAGTTGGACTCATCAACGCCTCACAGCTCATTATTAGCTCCCGGCCCTTTACAATCGTTACTTTATACTTCTGTCCTCTAATAATATCATACCTCTTGTGTGTATTTATTTATTAGGATTTTAGGACAATTTTGTATGCCTGCCTTCATATCTATTATTAACTATTTCATTATTTGTTTGCACCTGCATGTGCCAAAGAAAATTCTATGTTTGTGACTTCCTGTTATTCAGAACGGCCTTAAAATAATTGTGATTCTAATTCTGGACATTTTTTACAACATAATTAAAGTTGAATATTAAACTGCTACAACTACTACTATAGTGTCATGTAACCCTTGAAGTGGCGAGTTCCAAGGTTGTGAGGTGAAATCCAAAATTTCTAAATAATATTGTCACAGTCTTTTTGATGCAAACGTTATTTTGAAGTGATATTAGATCAAGGAACACAGTAAAGATAACATACCACTGAGGGATTTTATCTTCACTCTTTTTAATGTATTGTTATTATTTATGATTTTAGTGACTTGTGTGACTGTCTCTATCTTGTTTTGTTCAGCACTTTGAGTTGCCTTGTGTATGAATGGTGCTATACAAATAAACATGACTTGCACTCAACAACATTAAAACATTCAAATTAATTCATCGTGTTTTGACGCTTCTAATTCACTTTGATATATATTTGTACCGCCCTAACTCACAACAGTAGTCGTTTCAGAGGCAGGACTTGGGCGCCAACTTAAAGAGTCGCCCATTTGTAAAGAAAGATAAATTGTGGTGGTGTCACAAGATTTTTCAGTTTTAAGGCAACAAAAACATAGCTTCACATTGTTTTTCCCGGCATGGTATATGGTTGCTTAAGTTGTTTTGTAAAGAGTTGCAATGGGTCATAACTGTAATAACAAACACACAGCAGCAATAGGTCCATGTGGAGCGGGATGACCAATGAATCATTAAAATTGTTATTTTTATGAATCAGTATGTGCATGCAGAACATTAACACTACTCAATTGTCAATCTAAGTCATGGGGAAAATGTAAGTGACCACTAATCTATCGATTAACTTTACTGCCGCACGTTTGAGTGAAAAATACATCATGTGAGAATGAGAGTAAGGTTCTGGTTACATTTCATTGATGCCGTTTTCTAAATCGAGATGATTTAATTGTAATGATCTAATATGTATGTCAGAGCGGCAGACATAATTGATGTCCCAGAGCTGCCTGCACAGACTGAATTATGATCATAAAACGATAGAACCGGGAAGCGCGGAGGAATGGGACTTTCTTTTGGATGGCTGTTTCGCTGTGTAAGCAGTACCCGGTGACGAAGACACGAAGCTTCAGGTTAGCTCCGTCGCTTGTTGTGCTAACTCAGCCGTCTATGCTAACGGACCTGTAGATTTCTCACGAAAGTGGGGGCCAGTGGTCTGCTGTGATTGGTCACAATCTGCGACCCGAAACACATTCTCTTCCTTGTTTCATCAAAACTCGATCTAAAATATAATGTCACGCCAGCACAAATCTGCGCTAATTATTCTTCAAAAGGACGTATATCCCAATGCACTACATGGACATGGATAGCATTTTCGTAATGAATACGAAAATAAAGTCAGTTAGTGCAGCTTTAAAGGTAATTGCACATTATGACAAATGTTGTGTCACACATTTGTGGTGTTACGCGCACCTTCTGGTTAGCCAATCACCTGCTTGCATCTGTTCCTTCGCCTCTGCTACCGGCGTGGAGCATGTGTGCTTGCACTAAAACTAAAGCCACCGTTCACCGGCTTAATGCCCGGTGGCCTTGTAAACAGTTAGAGCGCGCGATAGTCTTCACAGAGGCCATATCTAGGGCCGTGCCCTCTCCTCAATGTCTATTGGAGTGCGTGTGTTCCCATAACTTCTGAATGCTGGGTCCTGACAAGTCTCTCCTTCTGCCCGGGTCACTCCTTTGGACCAGGATCTCCCTCATTCGACCCGGGTCTCCCTTTCCTCTCCACCGGAACCTTTCTGTTAGTGGAATTGCATTTTTAAATTATAAAATTAATGAATGAGAGTGTGTTGTGAGTACAGCAGTTGCAAAAAAAAAACATTGTTACTTTTACTGGCCAAATGAGAGCAAGCTGATCCAAAGATATGACAGAAGTATAAATCATGCGTATGAAAACTAGGGCCATAGAATCAAACAGCTTTAAGATAAAGGAACCAGTTACATGGATTGTATTATGTAGGTGTTAAGCATGGATCTATAATAATAAGTTAAGGTGCAAAGTGCTAAGGGCCCCTAAGATCACATTTTGCTCAGAGCCCCTGAAAGGCTTGGAGTGGCACTGGTCATCTTTTTCCATATATTTTCTGGAAATGGTTTACATTTATGTGCCATGGTTGAGGGCCAAAATTACTACAAATAATGGATTTAGACCCATACTGTGTTATGATAGTACTTCCAGAGTGACTAGATTGAAATGCAATTCTTGTCACTTGTTGCAACTCAACATGGCCTGGATCCACCAACACGAGCTCAGGAGTTACATCAGCCAGAGAGCAGCACAAGTCGACCAGTGCAGGAACTTCACGTATTTGCCCAAAGACGAGCCGTGTGTGCTTAAGTGGCTGCATCTGAATATTCATCCTTCTTTTGACCAGAAGCACTGATATAGTACGCAGGGATTACGCATATAAAATCACACTCCCACACAAAACGGTGGAAATAACTATATCTTCTCCCAGGCCGCGATGCATATTTATTAGGACCCAGATGCCCTCGGCCACTCACAGATTTGCGCTGGTGTGATTCTGTCCTGTCCGCAAAGACATTCTCAGGCTACAAAAGTGAAACCTTGTGTCATTCACAAACTGTGGAGGTCAAACTACAATCCGTTTATAACATTTGAAAGTGATTGAGCAATTTGTGAGTGAATTTCAGTATTTGTTTATATTCATTAAACAAAGGTGGCAATAGGCCGGTCCCAATAGCATTGTAGTGGACAATATTGCTTCAGAAAAACATCGTGATAATATTGAAACTACTTTTATACCACTCATACAATATTGCAGGATAATAACAGTGTGAGGGCTGACTCCACCCTCACACTTGGAGCTCACTCTCCTGGGGTCTGACTCCACCTGCACCCCCCTACACCCACTCCAGCTGGTGGGTGTTTAGCCTCCACCCTGTGACCTAAACTATAACAGGACCATAGGAGGGTTTTTTTTAGTTTGTTCACAGTTGGACCTAGGTCGCAAATATTATGATTATAATTATAATGGTTTGTTACTTTCTCTATCCTTAAACTAGTTTAAATAAATGCATGTACTTGTTTTGTGTAGTAGTCTTGTTACAGTTGGTTTGATCACCCAGATTATATGTTCCCCTTGTGTGCCTCTGTTAGGTCAGTTTTGTCATGTTTAGTGGCCTCATTTATTTTATTTTGACAAATGTTTTGGCTGATTGGAAATCCTAAATATTCAAATTGTTGTTTGTTTCCTGCCACACCTTTGGTCCCTTACAAACAGTATAGTCATTCTTTTATGACCCTGATTTAAACTAAGTTGGATTTACCAAAAAAGTGACTTTTTGAAAATTTAAAATGCTAAAACATGTCTGTATAACAAAGAAAAGTGCAAAAATCTCAGGGAATCAAAATACAAACTATAAACAATGTTCCCCCAAAATGAATGATTCCTTCCATCAGCTGAACTTGAAGTGGAGAATGGTGCCTTCATGAGCTCTGGTGATCATGGTAAACACCACTTGAACAGACCCTCACCTCATATTTTCTACGAGAGAACTGGGATCATTTTGAGCTCAGAATTGCCGAGATGAAATAACCCTTGACCTTAAACATGGACAGTGGCAGAAATATTGTGAATGACAGTTGTGTTGTACGTAACACACTTTTAGCCGAACATGCTTAATATCTATGGTTTACACTAATAATTATATCAATACTTTCACTTTGAGGCAATTTAATAATAAGGCGCGGTTTATTATAGCGCTTTTTGGACACTTGTGTAATTTATGTAATAAATAAATATATTCAATATATCACATAGCATGGTGAGTCGTTTAATTTCACATACGACAACAAAATTGTAATCCAAATTTTGACTCATATTTCTACTTTTAAAGTAAGAGAAAGAACATTGACTTTTACCAAAATAGTTTTTTATACATGTATCTATACTTTTCCCAAGATTGATGAAAAACTGGGAAATTACACCTGTTTTTGTAGGCAATGTTGTTTGTAGGCAGAGAAGCGGTCAGAGGGAAGCAGCCGTGACATACAAGAAAGTCTCGGCTGGTCATCAGTGTGACGTCAACCTAAAGAAGACTTAAATTACACACTAGAACACCTGCCAAACCAGTGGCCATCACCAGCCTCTTGTATTACCAGAGCTTCATCTACAGTAATTGTGGCTTCACATCTTGGCTGAGGCAGAGGTCAATAGAGGATCCAAGCACATGAAGGGGACAAAAGTTATACCAAGCTCTCTCAGGATTAAGCTTTTAACTTTATCAAAAACCCTTATTAAATAGAGAAGTCTAAATAAAATGACATTTGAAGACGTTTATTGGTTCAAACATGTTCACCCTGCAGATAAATAGGAAAATTACAAGCTGTACACAGTGTCAATAGACAGAACTTATTCTTGATCTCACACCTTGTGGTAATAACCAGAAGTGCCCTCAGAAATCAGGACAAAATACATGGAACCTCCTTAAAGAAGTGTACATAATGGAATAGACAACTTTTTAAATATCATACATATTTCCACCAGTCGGCTACATTCAAAATTAATGATATAAAGCCAAAAATACAATTTAAGATTTATTTCACCCATTAACATTTCAAATTGGGACATCTATATTTTTTATTTCAAGGTTTTTTTTGTTTTTTTTTAACTATGTGTGCTTGATCCAGTAAAATCTTTGCAAATCAAAAATAAGGAACATTTTAAATGTCATTTTTGGCAACTGTGTAATGTCACAATGGTCAACAAAATGTGTGTGTGATTTTTCAAAGAATAAAAGCCCTATCAGAGTTTCACAATAAATTAAATATAAAATGTGGTATATCATATTCTAATTGTTTATATGAGCAGAATTATATTACATAAGGTTGTATTTGTTTGTTATAAACCTGTCGTACAATGCAGGGCAGCCATGTAGACAGCAGATGTCTTACACATATGTGATAAACGGGTCTCTTTACACATGGCTTCAGCTGAGGAAACTGGCTTTCAGGCTTCATGTCTGGACTGCAGCCAGTGTTAAACACAGGCCTCTAGTTCTGGTCCTCACTGGCTCTGGTAAAAGGAGCCCATCATCAGCAAGTTTTCAACACAGAGGCTGAGGTGGAGATGTTCTCAGCAGGAGCAGTTCCCACAGCCCTTCACACTGTTAAGGACCTCCTCCTGGAGCTTCTTTCTCTCCTCTTCCTTTTGGGACAAGCGCTTGACTGGTGCCTCTGGGCTGCTCTGGCTGCTGCTCAGGATTTTGTTGTTTTGTGTGTTCCACAAGTCTGCATACAAACTGTTGGGAGTACTGAGCAGGGTCTGGTGGCTACCTCTCTCTGCCACTTTACCCTGGAATATAAACACAAAAGAGAAATCCATGTGAGTAAATCAGAATCCTTTTTATTGCCATGTGAGAAACAGGAAGTCACAAACTAGGTAAAGCCAGTCATGGTAGGAACCAGTGCGATATATTATGATTGTTTTTTTTAGCCATCATGTTGTAACACACAGCACTGACCACATAGCGGATCTCTGAGCACTGTGCTCCCTGGAAAGCTAACCGCCTCCCCAACAACTGTTGCATTTATCACCAAAATATGGCTCATATACACAGACGCACATTCACACACACAACACACACTTCCCTCCCACACAGTGCAACACAAATGAACCTGCCCCTTCCCCCACTGTCCATGAGCGTGCAGAGGTGTTGGCATCGTCTTTAGTGCACAAGAGGAGCATGTGACTCCTTCCGCTCGTTATTCTAATGAGCACCCCAGGCAGTCCTCTACTGGTGACACTGGCAAACGCAACAGAGATGACACACAAACATGCATTCACATCACACTCCTCTGATCCTTCCCATCTGACAAGAGAACACGGGACCACCAATGGACACCTCTTCAGTCAGCTCCCGGGTCCATGCTCCATTTATGTTCTATGCCATTTTTGCGTGCATACTGTAACTTAGCCTCATTTACAATAGTGTGAACTGTGTGTGCATGTGTGTGTGTGTGTGTGTGCGTGTGCGTGTGTGCATGAAATTGTTTACATACATTGTATGCAGTTGCCTAAAATGACAGTTTATGATAGTCTCATATAAAAACAGGACAAAACATGTTGGGTCAGACTACTTTACGAACCTCATCTAGTTTGCTGCTGTGAACATTAATGAGAAACTCTAAATAAAGAAAAGCCAAGGGGGAACACTATCTAGTCAAACAATGTCCAATTATTTCCTTTAAGCTAAAGTATGTGTAATTGAACTACCAATTAGGGGAAGTTAGCATCGCCTTTGTGCTGAATAAAGTCTCATGAGGACTGAGAACCCTACCTGGTTGAGCACAATGATTTCATCTGCATCTACAATGGTGGAAAGTCTGTGGGCAATGAACATTGAGGTCCGGTCCTTCACCATCTCCTTCATGGACGACAGGATGGTCTGGAAGAAGGAACAGAATCCAAGTCAAGGGGGTATACATTAACCCAGAATTATGCCTTGTGTGAGTCAGTATAAGTCAGGTAAAAAAAAAAAAAACACTGGACAGGATATATGTTAAATGCTGTGAAAGCCAGGTTGCTGAGCAACACAACACTGTACCAATTCCATAAACCAAAAGATTTTTATTATATGATTTTTAAAGTGGCCATGATATGTCATACATCTGAAAAGATGTACAGATACTTTGGGAAAAAAGTACTTGGGGTGAGGTAAAGTACTAAGGACTAAAAATCTAGAGGCACCCACATCAATGGAATTGTCCATTTACCTGAATATTTAAGCTCTTTAAGTAAATGCCGCTGTTTGTGGGGGTTTTCTGTCTGTTCGGATTGTTAGCACAACAGATTCGAGCAACTGGAAGGAGTAAATATTCCTGTTTAATACCATAAGGTTATATTTATAAAGTTCAATGGATGGGTGTTTGCAAACAGAAAATGTTTAGCATTTAGAAGCTTCTCTCTAACAAGCATCTGACAGCTTTGCTTTCTCAAAAGTTGTAAAACAGAACACTACTGATTTTATTACTGGTGACATTAAAATTCCAACTTCCCGAGATAAAGACAAAATGTTGGAACCCCCGACATCTATGAACGCAGCATTAGTCAGTGGTCACGTGTAACGCAAACAATGTTCATAATCCATGATTTTGTGTTTCCCACTGGTGACAGAGGGTTTCTGCTGGTGTGTGTAATGTGTGTCATTATTTAGTGACTCACTTCTTCTGTGATGGAGTCAAGGGAGGAGGTCGCCTCATCATACAGAAGGATAGGGGGATTTTTTAATATGGCTCGAGCAATGGCAACACGCTGCTTCTCTCCCCCTAAAACACAAAAAAAATGTAAAAGTTAGAAAATATTCATATGGAAATAATTATGTAGAGAATGATTTTGTTTGAAATGCTAGATGAATATTAAATGAAGCTATCAAGAGCATATCAACAAAAAATGTGTGTGGGTGTATGTATGTATTAATATTTATTAACAAATATAATTCGAGTGGCAATAATGACTGCAGCTCAACTCTATAGTCACTGGGCATTTTCTGAAACTGTAACTGTCTTGAATGTCGTCAGCTTGTTGACACGGGGTAAATGAGTTGAAGGATCCTGTATTTGCAGTCAAAAAACAAACCCTTCTGCATCTATTGCAGAAGACTACAGACAAGTTCAGCAGAGGGCAAGTTTATTTAAAGGTTTTTATTTCCATATATCAGTTTGAACTCTCTGAAATGTTATCCAGGGATGTAAGCTCACCATATTCCTGAAATGCAAATAAAACAAGACAACAGCCGTAACAAGGTTAGTGTCTTGTTCCGTTTGTATTTCAGGAATGTGAAATCTCTGTCAGAAAACTGGAGGCTGGTCTATTTGAAAAGTGCTTTTAAATTGCTTACGATTAACAAAAACAATATTTTTAGTGAAGTTAAGCATTTACAATCAACTTTTTTAACTCATAAACTGCATAAATATGTTTATTGTAGTGCTCTCTACATATCCTGGTCATTTTTTTCACATTTTAGTTCGAATTAGATAAAATCTCACTTTTGAGCCAAAACACGTCTGTGTGGCGCCCTCTCTACCTTTTTTGGTGGTACTACATTTGAATTTGGTTCTGGCCTCTCCATTGATTCTGAAATTCTCTATGACGTCAGTTGGTTTGTGTGACGTCAGTGATATAAACCAATTCAACTCTCACACACGCCCCAGCTGCAGTTGAGTATTTTGGCGACATCTAGTGGATTAAAATTTAATTACATGAGTAATTCAAAGATTATTGTGTGTGATTAGGTTCAGGTGTAAACTTAGTCTTAGTGTGTAAACAAGGATGGAATGAGACTTTCTGATGTCTAAACTATTGCTTTAAGCAGTAATGATAAATGTCTTTTTTTTGTGTGACAAGCCCAGCCCAGACCACGCCCAACTCTAAGCCCCCCTTCCTGTCCCTTGGTCCTCCAGGCAACGCCCTTTTTAGAGAACATTTTCAAATCTTCATGTGGGCGGAGTAAGGCTGGGCACAGGTGTTTAGTCGCTCTTCAAGGGAGATGTCAGCAACAATTATACTTCATTATAAAAAAATGATGTATATTTCTGACCATAGGGCACTGTACTATTATGTGCAAGTACTAATCAACAATAATATTAATAATTAATATATTTGAAATTTTCCTTCCTCTGGGGACAACTACGACCAGTAAGATTTTCCAGAGGACTATAGTTTAATCCAATGAGGCGGGGCCTCAAACATTTTGAAATTGAATCAATTTCAATCAAGAGCGAGAGCATGAGCGGGCATAACCAGTGCTCGTCTTCACTCTCTCTACACAATTTGAAAAGTAACTGACATCTACATTAAAAATGAAAGGTGAAGTCAAGGATTTTTGTTAACTTAGCAGTAGCATCTGAGTCAAAATCACTTCTCCTATCCCCTGCCCTCCACCAAACCCAACTTCCAGCACACATGAACACCGTTTCTGTAATAACGCAGTCTGTGCTTGAAATGTGAAAGTATTACACTACATCTCAAGTCTGTGAGCGATTTGCCTGCCATACTTGACAAGTGCCAGCTTCCCCTAACAAACTAGCAATTAGCAAAACTCGACTGCCTGCTTTACATAGCCCTGGCTGCGTCCAGAGTCTTCTTATACAACGCCATCTGATGTTCTCTTATTTTCCAGAACAGGGCGAGTGGCAAACGTGAAATTGGCACTTTTGGGATTTTCGGTTTAGCCATTGTAGGTGTTATAGAAAATCCGACTCAATAACAACTCAGACAGGTGCATGCACTAGCGAAAGCAGAAGGGAAGTCTAAAGACAGTAAAATGTTACCCAGGGCCTATAGGAGCCCATACTTGTAAACGTGGCCCACCTGACAGCTTCAGGCCCCGCTCCCCGACCTGCGTTTCGTAGCCATGGGGCATTCTCAAAATGGCGTCGTGGAGGCCGGCGAGGCGTGCCACTTGATACACATCCTCCGGAGTGGCATTGATGTTCCCATACAGCAGGTTGTAGAAGATTGTGTTGTGGAACAGCACAGCATCCTGGAGACAGATAAAGAAATTGAGCTTTTATAGAGGCTTAGACAGAAATCAGGACTGCAGATAAAGACGGTAGGAGGGAGAGAGAGGGAAAAGGCAAATGACAAAAATATAGTTTGTGTACCATCTGTTCGGATAAGCTTGTGAGTCTACTGCAGTGGAAGCTTTTGGATGTGAATTCAGGGTTGTTGGCATTTTCATAATTCAATAGAAATTTAAATGACAATTAAGGCTGGGATACCAAACGTTATTTTGTTCGATGAATACATATTGTTAGTCCCAACAAAAAGAGAGTTTTGTTTGAGTAAAATGTTGTGAAGACAGACCATCACATGCTGTCTTCATCTTATTAGAAAACATAAAACCTGGGAGCTGATAACTCTCTTTTTCGCAATATAAGCTGATCTAAAGATTAGACACAGGCCAAAAATACATTATAGTGAGGGATAGGATCTAGTTACATTGTATTACATATTTCATATGCTGTGTGCTTTAAATTTCTTTCACCTATGAACTATGTGTCTTTTTAAAATAGGTGGGTGTCAAACCTGAGGTACGACCCCCAAAGCTCTCCTCAAGCTGTCAAGGCTGACTTCTCTGATATTCTGCCCCGCGATGTAGATGTTCCCCTGCTGTGGCTCATAGAAGCGGAACAGCAGCCGAACAATAGTGCTCTTCCTGAAAGCAGACGTGAACCAAATAATCAGTTTGCCATAGACTCCAGACAACATCGGGTGAAGTATTCTGACTGTTACCTACCCTGACCCGCTGCCGCCAACTATAGCCACCTTTTTCCCTGCGGGCACGTCGAAAGTCACTCCGTTTAACACTTTTTGGCCCTCCAAGTATTCAAAGTAGACATCCTCAAAGCGAATGGTGGCCTCCTGTGGCGTGATGGCTAAGGCTGGGGCAAGATCCTTCTCCTAGAGCAAATCATCAGAGGCATTTACCGACTGAGGCACAAAGAAAGAAGAGATATAGAAGAGTCACTGGCATCAGGAGCTAGTGTGATGCAATGAGAGTTCAACAACTCAGAAAGGAGGCTAATACTGCACGAGCTAAGGCTGAAGGGTCTTTTAAAAACAAAGGGCATCCAACACCCTCATCTGCAGTGAACAGGCACCAAACTAGAGTCTACTCAATTAGTAATTCAGTTTGACAATATGTTAAATTATCTTGTTTTCATGGGAAATGTATCTAAAAATGAGCTATACCATGCCACGTTACCCTTTTCACCCATCATTATTGTTGCAACCATCCTCCCATCACCTCAGTGAGAGGCTGGTGCTCTGTGAATTGGGTGGCATCTGATTGCTTGTCTGTTTTATTGTTAAGAGGAAAGATTGTATGATGATGCTTACAATTTCTTGTTGTGGTTAAAAAGCACAATCCTATTAATTGAGAGCTTTTTTCTTTTCATATACATTTTTGGATGTGAAGGCAGAAATTCTGTTCTCTTTCTAGAGAGCAAATGATCAATGTGTTAAAAGCCCTTTCAGAATACAGGCACAGGTTACATAGAGCGCATTAGACAGAAAAGTGAATTCAGCTGCAGTTGGTACAAAATGTGTGCTTTCTTCCACCTGGATTTTGACCTCAGAGAAGACTGAGCAGATGGTGAAGAAAGCCTGTTCCATCCATTCAGAGCCTGTCCTTCGACCTTTGGCCAACTACAATAAGTGTAGGAACATTTTTAGAACCTAAGACGGTCTTTATGGGGAGCTGTGAAAAAGTATAATCTCTGATGTTGGGTGTAGAAAAGATAGTAACACAAGAGACTTCACAACACTTCGACTAACGGTGGGAAATATAAAATGAAATTGTAATGTATTCAATCATGAGGCTCCAAAGGGAGAAGTCATTCAATCTATTCATGATGACTGACTCAACCGATCACAGTGACGTGATCTCTCAGAGTAAATAACTTCCTTTGTAAAAGCTGTTGAAGAATTCAGACATTTGCCATATTGCTCACAGCTCGGGGTGGAACGATTAATCAAATTGAATTTAAAAAAAGCGTAGATTACTGTTTAATTGCCTTGATTAAAACCATGTGACACTCAAAGAAACGCAAAAAACAAAGCAGTTATTTCAAGCACATTAGTCCCACAAAATTCCACCACCAACACACTTGAATGCATGATAATAATTAAGACCTTAGGTCTTCTACATTTACTTTTGAGACTCAAACAGAGCAGTAACAGTACATAAAACTACATACAATAATGAGGCTTGGAGTGCATGTCATATTTCATGATATAACAGCCTGTTCTGGAGAAAACCAAACATCCATCCATCCATCCATTTTCTTTCCCATAATCCATTTCTGCACCAAGTACAAAGAGCACCAGCCCATCACTGATCCTCCTGCAGGGGTCCTGCGAGTCCACAGGGACCTTGATCTTTCAACGGGGGCTTCAGGCAAAGTGGTGTTAGGATTTAGCAGACAGAGACGGATCGTGGTGTGCCAAACTCTGGAAGTTTATTTAAGTTTCTCTCAAGTTCCACTGGTTTACTGTTTCTTTCTCTCAGACAGAATGGAGACAGTACACAGTTTATATAGTCATTGTCACGTCACACATCGAAAGACATACGTGTCACAAAGAGACAGTCACATCATAGTCATAACATGGAGTCCTTGTACAGTCCTGCACGTAGGCCATATTGCTATCTAATACTAACACCCCTGAAGAAGATGTCAAAGTCTGGGATCGCGTCTTAAATTCAGACAGAAGACATGTTTTATTGTCGATGGTAGAGACAGCACGAACAAAGCACACGAGCACAGAAACAATAGAATGCAAGTGTATTATACAGAGCGGAGGCATGGAGACCTCCAATCAGCAGCTTCCACGGTGCCTTGTAGCTTGGCCTTCAGATAGACAAAACAAGGGAAAAGTACTGGCTTCTGCACATTGATAGAATGATGAGTTTAACTTTAACAAAAGTTGCTTAAAAGTGTTATGAAATCTCACAGTGGGGTTAAGTGTCTTGCCCAAAGACAACGACAGCAGACATCAGAGGAAATCGTGAAGTAGGTCTTATGGTGGGCTCGAACCCACGACCTTAGGCTCAAAAGCCAATGCTCTACCAACTGAGCCACTGTCGCTCCATCCAAAACCAAATAAATTAGGCTTAATTTCAGATATATCTGAGTGAGAAGAATAAAATTTAAATTTGCATTCTAAACAACTTGTCAATTAATAAAGAGAAGAATCAATAAATGGTTCTGATATCTGTTAGTTACAGCCCTAGACTCATGCGGAGTATGTTGCTATATCGAGTGATTCCCTTTGTTCATACAGTATGTATTGTACATGCATTGTCACTAAAACAGCATCATGATCATGAACAACGACCTCATACACTGTATAAAAGGTTTTTAACAGCTGGATTTCACATCATGGAAATCTATATCTAAAAGATAAAACCTTTAGATCCAAAATGACTTTTATATATTTTTTAAAGTAAATGGAACAGTGACACTGTCCAACAGTTTACCTTGATCTGGGTGTCGACGTTGAGCAGAGTGAACAGTGTGTTCATGTCTATTAGGGCTTGTCTTGTCTCTCTGTAAACGGTTCCCAGGAAGTTGAGCGGGAGAGAGATCTGGAAGAGCAGGCCATTCACCATCACCAGATCCCCCACTGTCATTGTGCCTACACAACAACACAACACAGGATGACACACTTTATCATCTATTGAAACTACAGAGGCTCGGAGACCGCGTCTAAAAAGTAAATACTGTTCTTTCAAACCCTGAAAGCAGACAAAAGCCAAAACTGTCCAAATCCTTTTACACCTACTGTGATTTCATTTTCTGCATCAAGCCCTGTTTCTTTTCAATTCTTGACACTTTCCTTGCTGTGTTTTTTTCCCATTTAGTTTCTATTATTCCGATCACTTGGGGGTTTACTTGCAGTTTTCTCACTGTCAGCCTGATGTTTGAGTAATGCATGTATTTGCGTATGTGTTTCTGTCACCGATCCTACGCACAAAAGGAACCGCACAACATAATGTTGATACACACTTTAAAGGTAATCATCATGATCTCATCAAAGCTCAACAAACCACGGCTTTGTTTTTTTAACTGTGAATAGAAAAAGGGTTCACTCACCGGCGGTGATGCCTTTGCTGGCTAACAACATAATGGCCGTGAGGCCCACACTGAAGATGGCACTTTGGCCAAAGTTGAGCATGGCCAACGTGGACGTGGTTTTCAAAGACGATGACTCGTAGAGCTTTAGGTAGGAATCGTATCGTTCAGCCTCATACTTCTCGTTATTGAAATACTGCAACAAGTAAAGAAGGAACAGATGAGACGAGCTCACTAGGAAAGTGAGTCAAAACAACTCAATTGTTTATTATTATAATTATAGTTTATAATTATTAAAAATTATTAAAAACTTTGAAGGGAAGGAATTCTATTTATAGGTCTCATTTGCATTGATATGTATGCACAAAAACTGTAAATACTATAATTTTATGTTCTTTAAATCACATGCAATCAGTCTTAACTATGTTTGTCTCAAAACAAGCAGTTACTTTATCAAATAAATATAGAGCTCTTGTGCATTGGAAACACAAACTACAACATCAACACATCTCTTTCACTCTGCTGCCAATTACCTAATGCTGCGTGTTTAGTTAACACTTGTTTTGCCACTATAGTTAAGTGGGCTGTGTGCTTCTCCTGCTCACAGCACTGGACCACTGCTGCCACAATAAGCAGATACAGTTGAATATAAGAAAAACAGGAAACAAAAAGAGGGAAAGTGGCACACGGAGGACAAGCTGAAGCAGGCACTGTGTTGTGTTCAGGTTCCCAGCCAGCCCTTTGTGAAAGTGGAACGGATTTCTGAGTGGGCGGAGATCTAATTACATATGCACCCTCACATCCAGAGTGATGCTAAATCAGGCAGCATTGACACAGATGACACGTTAAAGAAAAACAAGACGCAATATAATGCATCCAGAAAAATACTGAAGATGCATTAAAAGACATCCAAACAGAAAAAACCCATCCTTTCATTAGCGCATGTACATACACAATACACTTATATTGTAGGGGGCTAAAATATATGAGAATTATATTCTATCTACTCCTTTCTGATCAAGGAAATGTTTGAATGATTCGAGAAAAACTTGTTACTTGTACAACTATGCATTTTCATGCAAAGAATTAAAAAAACATACCTAACCCAAGCTACACAAATGGTCTGACTGGCACATGCAAAAAGAAATGTTCTATCACGCTTGTCTGTGTCAAAACAGAATAGGGCCAATAAAACAACTGTACAACACTGTTTCATATTGAAGTGGAATCTATAACTGCAAGCAACTATTGAGCTGTTAAGAGTTCAGTATATGCGTGTATTTGCCACACCATTGCTTTAACCACAGCATTTAGGTATGACACGTTTTACACAGTGTAACTATGAAGAAAGGCTTTTTTCATCAGGTGAGGAATTTCATTTAAGCCTGATTTAAGCCTTATTGAGAGTTTGTCCTTTACATTCATGTAGCATTCTGCACACAAGAAAACTGATAATTAATCAGGTGACGGCGCATGTCTAATGAACTCTGACTTACCTTGACAGTTTCATAGTTAAGAAGAGAGTCTATTGCAGCATTTCCGGCATCATTGTCAGCTTTATTCATTTCAATACGGAACTGGGTCCTGTGTAAAAATAGACCATAGTACTATAGAAGTTACTTGTGTGGACTGTTAGCATATTGTCAGACCAAAGTAGATATAGTTACCTCCACTGAGTTACCAGAATAGTGAAGGCAGTGTACGCTGATAAAGTACCCAAGGCTACTGCAGCAAACTGTCCACCACATTTGTAATACTGTGGAGAGAGACCTCAGTCAGCCCAGCATCCTTTCAGGCTCTAAATGACTTCTGCACACATCAACGCACTAGGCCTTGACATCAGTATCACAAGGCCATTTCAAAGTGTTCAGATCATTCCTATATTAAATTGAGTGTTACAAATGGAGCAAAAAGAATAAAGGAAATAATCATGCAAATACTCAGGATGTCCTTGTTACACACAAGGCGACATCATTTCTCACGGAGCAGTGCATGGGCTTCTTTCACTGCTGTCCAGACAGATACCTTTTAATTATCCTGCTTTGTCATGAATGTAATAAGCCCCATTGTGCAGGGTTATGTCTTAGAATGAATTGATATAAATTTTAGAAAAGGTCACCATGAGTTTACATAAAATCCATTGAAGTAACAGCATTTCGATATTGTAATACACATGTAAATATAGTGTAAAGACATTAAAACAATAATCGTTTTTTTTTTTCTATCTCTGTGTGTTATTTGAGTGACTTACGAGAATGGCACTGACAAGACCCATCTCAAACATTGTAGGTCCCAGATTGAAAACCAGTGCGCTGAGGACAAAGGAGATGCCTCTTGTGCCGCGGTCAATGGCTTTGGACAGTGCTCCTGTTTGGCGGCTGAGATGAAAACCCAGGTCCAGACTGTGCAAGTGAAGGAAGACATTCTTAGCAATTCTGCGGATGGAGCTCTGGGCCACTTTGCCGAACACAGTGTTCCTCAGCTCATTGAAGAGGGCCGCACAAGCCCGTGACGCACCATCTGGGAGAGTGAAGAAACAGACTCTTTAGCGCACCTGCTGTGAAAGGCATGGACTATCCAACAGGGACTGGTGCTATCAGGACTAAATCTATCTTCACTCAGAAATGTTAGCGAGCACTCAAGGGTGGTGTGTATTTTGACCTGTCCCTGTCTGTGTTTATCCAAGACAAATAGCCAAAGTTGAGGCACTTCAATCTTGATCAAGCCTAAAGTAAAGAAGATGTTCTTTCACACAGAGTGTCTAGAGGGCCTGCAGAGCAGTAGCAATGCCTCCACTCACCTCTGTAATAACAGATATGGACATTGTGGATAGCTCATGACACAGTAGTGCTCTACAGAAGCACAGGAACATTGCACATTTGAACAAAGGGTGAGCTGATTTATAATCAACATAAACAACCATTCAAACAGAAAATTGACACCTTTAATTCTGATTCTAATCCATTAAATTCTTATGGGGAGATTTATGTATGTGGTGATGTGTTATAAAATGTTTTCTTCTTGGTACTTCTTCACCTGTGTGAATAATGAACCGAGACGAAAGTCGGGCCATAATTGTTCTGTCTGTCGATTTTCATGGGGCTATAATGTGGCGTTAAATGGGAATACTCATCTAATGAACAACGTGTCCAGATGTGACAAGGAAGGATAAGCACAGCAAAACCGTTTCAGATAAATTAAATATCACCCATCATGTATCAAGCGCTTAGCTTGGCAGACAAATAAACACTACTATAATATGTATGTTTCATTTTTGGTGGTTCTATATCTTCCATTAGGCCAATGTGGCTACATAGATCTGTGCTCCAAGGTCCACTTCATTCATTAATGTCTCTTCAAACCCACACAGGCTACAGCTAACCTGGAGACCATCTTACATTTATATTCTGGAAGTATGTGCACAAAGATTAGATTGCATGTGCATGTATGGATGCATATATGGAACTATACATATATGGTACTAAATATTTTCATCAATCATTTGCAATCAAATTTATAACAGACAGATTTCTTTTCCTCAGTTATTTCGAACGGCAGGGTTGACCTTGTAAGAAAAATACCACAGGTTTGTGTGCATGTATGCCGGTAAACCTTGACGGCTCAGACGAGCACAATGTAAACTAGCAGGAGGACAAAGAGCATTGATATGAATGTTTGCAAAGGTCATGGTGTTGATTATAGGGAGGCCCTCGCTCCCCTTGTTAGGAGAAGCAAATCAGCCAGTACGGGGCATGTCTGGGACTCACAGCCAATCAGCACAGCCGTTGCCATGGTAGCCACAGTGCTTGGCGCGTCATTCAGGTTCAGCATGTGTCCAGACATCTGGTTTAGCTCATCCACTGCATACTTAAACATGAAGGGCACTGTCACATTGGTGAGCTGGGAGGACACAGAGACAGAGGGAGCATATTAGTCGGGCATATGCTCAATAAACCCAAGTGTCATTTTTTGACTTCTCTGGAGTCACTTCACCAGATAGATCCAAATTGTGTTTTGCGTTAACACTGCAGTCGTAATGGATTAAAACATTTCAACACGTCCCTTTTTTAGGCTTTAGTACATGTGTATTTTGTGTGTGTATTATATTGTTCCTGGCTTTTAGACCGAGGGTGTGGAGCTGGTGCTTCCTGCTAATGGAATTGAAATGGTTATTAGAGCTAATTAAAAGCGCAGGGACAGCTGTGTGAGTCAGGAGAGTTTGCTACACATTTGGAAGGACAGAAAGCAGCTCACAGCAAAGAGTTTCCATTTAAAACAAATTTCAGATTAGGCTCTCAGCCCACCACAGGGCAGAACCTTTGCTGACATTTTTTTTATTTCTATTGCATGTAGCTTGAAAAATGAAAATATGAAACACATCAGGTCAAACCAACAGCATCATAGGTTATTTCTGAGTGGATAAAAATAAAATAGACTATAGTAAAATAGACAATGTTTGATACACATTAAAATACGTTCATGTGATTACAGTGAAAATGTGGCAGCTGAGAGAGGACACAGCACACACACAATCAGGAGGCACATAATCAGGTATTTGAAATGAAAATGTCACTTGTTATATGGAGTGCAGAGGTGACTGTGTCAGTAACTAAGCAATTATTTTGTTGATTTAAAAATTGCCTTTTCTCTGCTGGAGGTCTCCGTTCAAACAGACAAAATGGAGAAAGTAAGGCTCACTCCAGCCATGCGGGGAAATGAGGAAGATTGGATTGTACACGCACTCTAGGTACACACTAGAGGGAGCCGCACAGACCAGCAGTGGTACGAACAACTATTGAGAAGGTTTGAACATGTTACTGTGTGGAAAGGTGTAAATGAATGACCGTCAACAAAAGAAGCAGGAAATAAATCAGACGGAATTAACTCTTGAAGAAATGATACAAGCATTTTGCATCAACAAAGCACAGCATGATTCCTAAAGGAGTGGGTGGAATCTTCAGTCCATGTCTAGTATTTTTCCTCTTTGTGTTTGTTTCTGTTGTCTGTTAAAGGATCGTACCTTAGCTCCAGCCAGAAGACACAGTGAGATGGCAACACGAGCCCGCAGGTCTGGTCTGTCTTTGGGCCACACGTAAGACAGCATTGCAGACAGAATTGTTTTTGAATTTACTTCCTTCAACTGTTAAAGAGACAAACAAAAACCTAATTTAGTTTCAGTATAGCAACACAAAGTGAAATAAGAAAATAGAATAATAGTAAATAAATAGTATTTTTTTATTTATATATATTTTTTTTTTCAAACCATGCACATGTATTTAATTTTTTCTGTAAAGACATATTAATATGTCTTATGTGGTTTTATAAATAAATAAATTCAATTCAAGTATCAATTCAAGACATCCACCATGTGTTGGTGAAACACAGATTTGTTCACGTGCCCATATCTGGCAATTACAATTTTTTTTTTAAGGGGAAAAGGTCAAAAATCCCAACATCTTCTCGGTCAGGACAGTGAACTGCACAGTAAACAATTGCAACAGTGCCACAATATCTGACTAAATGAAATTGCAACATGATTTCCTGAGGTTTTTTTTCCATGTTTACATTTATCTTGGGAGGAAAATAGGTGAAATGAATGCTGCACATTTTTGGCAACAGTAACTATCATTCACATTACATCATGTTCCAGTGTCTACAATTACCAAGTAGGCTGTGTGACTTCAGGAACAGTCATGTATAGCTTGAAACAATATTAATTATCTTGCTACATTTGAATGAAGTCTTCAATCAAAATCCTCTTTACCAGAATACGCAATCCGAACATGAAAGGCAAATATCAACTGAAGCCTCATGGGAGATTACATCGTGGACTCTCCAGGTGGACTGGGGGATTCAAACTGACACAACAAGTCCCAGGAGAGACCAGGACTGTCATCCCAGCTGAGGCTGCCAAGACTGCTGTTTACTCACTCCTCTACACACCTGCTATGGAGGATTGATGGAGGCCAAAAAATAGGCACTCATTCTTTCTCTAATCTGCTCAATATGGTAGGACCACATTGCAGCACGGTTATATGGCACCATCTCAGCGCAAATTATTAAGAAAATGTTGCCAACACCTGCCTTTAATCACATAAAATTAAGCAAAGCACGAGAAGGGTGTAACAGACAATGTCCATGTAAGAACCTCAAGCATTTGCAAGTTGGGCCCTGGTACGGACTATCCATCTAGTCATTATTTTCATGTGTAACTTAAACTAAAGGAGCTGGAAGGGGGTTAGTCCTCACACATGCCACTTTTGTCTTATGTCTACATACCAGTATCGGTGCTTCCCTAGTTCAGAGTAAATGCACCGTTTGAGCTGTCTCATTATTGGTGTATCTATTATTAATATATTATTGGTTTTTGTTCTGCTTTAACTCAATCCATCCATCCATTTTCTTCCCCTTAATCCATTTCTGGGTCGGGGGGTGGCAATCAGACTCTTGCAGCATCTCTTGTTAACTTTAAGAACTGGCATACAGCTGTCCTCTTGCCGCTAGCATGAGTGTGGGTAGCTGGACGTGCCGCAATACGTGCCAAACAGCTGTCTGCTGTCGTGGTGCGAATGTAAATTAAAAATGTGGGTATTGGTTGCCAGCATCGGGTCCTATGGTATGAGTACAAGCACGAGTACAAGCCTATGGTATCGACTTGATACCAGTATCGGTGCATCCCTAGTAGTTCAGAGTAAATGCACGCTAATGGTCTCATCCATTAACTAATAAGATTTGAAAAGTAACTGTGTTTGTAGTAGGAAGATAAAAAAATTCCCTAATGTTGTGTTTTGTGAATTTGACATTCATAGTAACAAATATGATACAATTTTATTTTAAACATTTACTCACCACATTCTTCGGATCTGCATTAAGCCTTCCTCCTGCATTGCCATGCCAACATGATCTTTTGTGTATGGTCTCCAAATGCTGTAAAACATCAAGTACTATGTGTTTATCTTATCCCATCATGGAGTGGTACCAAGAAGTACAAGGCAATTTATCTTTTCACACATAGCAAAAACAGAAGTCCTGTTCTTTCACACATGCTCGCTGTAAAGAGGCTGACCCATCAAAGCGGGAATTTAGACAGCCAAAACACCAACATAACCCGGTTCAGGTCAAGTGAAGAGTTATGCAGTTATAAAACTAAACATAAGTTACACGTGGGACAATAGGTAAATTTTTTTAAAAATAAAAATGTCCTTGTAAAAAACATTATTTTACAAAAAGGTGTCTTTCTCTCATCTTTCCTCAAGAAGAGTTAAAATATCGCTGGATCTTGTGCACGAGTGAGGGATGAAGCATGAGATTGTCAGACACATCTGCTGTGATGAGTTGCTTGATCAGACTGTAGAGGACTGAAGAGGAGGCGGCTCCCACCCTCACCTCAACATCACTGGGGTGAGGGTGGGAACCGACACATTGACAAAAGGGGTTTCCTCCGCACAATGGCTGGGTGCTCTTTATGAGGAGCTCAATCACACGAGAGCAGCTCGGGGTAAAGCCGCTGCTCCCAACACAAAGAGATGAGAGAGTAGATTGCACGCTCTACAGTAATATGCATTAGGTCCAATCATGCCATCTTGGCTCATTCACAGATATAAGCCGAAAGACTTGAGACTCGAGATATGCAGTAGAAACTGGGACAAACACATGGTTTTGATAAATAAGCTGGCATTGGTGACATTTAGAACAGCTAAAAACTGAGACTGCATTATTTGGGGGGTCTTTTGAGATAAAAAAAAAACTAAACAAAACTTGGGACAGCTTATAATTTAGTAACAGTGGAAAAAAATGAAATACATTACTATTAACATCAACATTATACAATTCTTAGAGAACAGGGGACGGAGTGCTTTTAGCTGTAGAAAATTGTAGGTGTTGTTCCAAGCCCAGGGTGCTCAATAGAATCAACGAACCACTAAGAGGAGCAGAAAATGTACCACCATAGCCGCGTTTCCCCTGCAGGAATTTCGGGGGAACTTCCAGGGCCAGCCCCGTCGGTGCGTGTCTCCACTGCAAGCACTTTCCCCACAGGGCCATTTACAGGAACGTTTAAGGGGGCCCTCCTCCATGGTTAACCCGGCGCTGATTGACTAAAGCTAGCGCAGGCTCTGACGCCAGCAGTAAGCAGCAAAACAAACGGCATTCAGCAGCATTAGCCTAGCAGACACCACTGGAAACAACGAACAGATATATAACATATTTAGACATATCAGCTTCACCTCGAAGCACCGGGGATTCATCACACTCCAAAACAAGCTGTGAAAAGTTTTTAAAAAGTGAAGTAGGACTATAAAAAAAACTCAAAGACCACAACAACCGGAGCGGTCACAAACGTAAAATAACCAAATTTGGCACATGGATCTATAATAATAATGGGTTTGGTGTAATGAGTTTTGCTCATTCGGCAATCGAAACTCATATGACGTCGCAGAGTGGTCCAACTCTGTGGAGACACGAACACTGAGAGGGCCGAGGGAGAGGAAGGTTCCTGTCAAAGTTCCACCCCGCTCCTTTTACCAGGAACTCCTGCGGTGGAAACGCGGCTCATGACTGGGCCAACATTTGTACAAGGGCATATGAAAGGGTCATACAATTGGATTGGCATATCAATACCATTACAACTTTGTACTATGAATATTATTATTATTATTAATCTTTATTGAGGACACAATACAACACGGTCCATAGTTTTAAAAATATCCAATTCACACAGTATATTGCATATTGAAAAAGAAATGTATACAGGAAAAGTATATATAGTGTATAGTGATAATAGCTGTTCATTAATGTGTGATGAGGGCCGGGATGCCCGAAACCTCACCTTAGTGAAACCCAGCCTTTCTCAAATAGTGGGGCGCCCCCTTGGGGAACGTGGTGAAGAACAACCAAGTACTTAGCGTTTTTTGCTGTACGTGCTGTAACGGGAGTTCAAATTCTCTATTGCCACAGCGTTCTGCCCCCAGGAGTAATTGCGGCCACTATTGTAGTGAATGACAGCAGTTCCTGCCTCCAGTGCCTGTGAGCCACTTTGACAACAGCGCAGTGAGCGTGCAGCTGTAACGTAGTCATGATGTGGCCAGCGTGGACAGGACCATTCACTGGAGCTTGTTGTGAGTGTGTGTCTTTGCAAATAATTGAGAAACATTTGGAAGCTTAAAGTTGTGCGGCCCTCAAAGGATTACGATGTGTGTATTTTCCTTCTTAAAGTCCATTAAGATAAATTGTCCCATTTGAAAAGATAAATCAATAACTGACCTTGGCGGCCTCCAGGATATGTCGGCTGTTTCCATGTGTGTTTGAACTCCATGCTGCTGTCCTTTTGGAGGGACCCAACTATAAAATAGAAAAAAATTATTTAAACACCATAGAAATACAAATGTATGTTAGTACTGGAGAAGCAAGTGGCAACATTTAAAAAATGTTAAAAAATTAGGGGAGAACATGTTGGCCCGGGGTTTTTCTCAACTGCCAGGATTCAACTGAACCAGTTTGAGGAATCCACTCGGGCTTCATGTTTTTGGCAATATTTCTAATTGTAATTTTTCTGATTTAATTTAACTTTATCTATAAAATACCATTGAGATTTCAGAAACTCCTTCATCAGGAGAGTTCTGCCCCTAGACAGAGGTGGGAAGATGAGGAAGAAAGGCGGGACCAGTGGGGTCGGGTCCCGGCTCCAAAAGGTCCATGACCATGAGCATGTGCGCTGAGTCGCTGACATGCTTGCAATACCACTCTGGGCCGGTGGGGGTGGATGCGGAATAAGAATTACCCAATGCTTTTGTATGCCGTCTTCTTTCCTCTCAAAAATGGCTTTACACGATGGTCCAAAAGTCGGCTCTTGATCCAACGCTACGTTCCAAATGTGTATGAATGGGGACAAAGCGGAGTATATTTTTTGGACCAGTCTAGTTTAGCCACTGTGGGCTACAGAAGGCATCCATCAAATGAATGGGGCTAGCCCTGGAAAATGCATATGTGCAAATGCATTTTTTGAAAAAGCCCATAGAAGGCAAAGTGGTGGCACATTACTTTCTTAATTTGCATTACTGGTGCATTCAAAGTGGATTATGCATATTTATGAATCTATGTATCTAAAATACCCATGATATAGTGCTCAAGCAATTATAATATTGTGATGATCGCAATATTATTATTTTTTGTGAGATATTCTATTTGTTTCAATATAATTGTGGAAAATATCAAAATTAAAAACAAACTGCGGGGACCCCCTCAAGTTCTAAACATCGACCCATTTGAGAAGGAGGGGTCCATCTTTTATACACCAGATTGACTAAATACCTTAGAATCACAGTAGAAACAATAGTTTAAAATTCTCAAATGTTATATCAGTTATATCTACCCATTTATTCTAACAATTTGTTGAACTTGAACATAAAAATAAAGTTGATTGAGACTGATGAGAGGGACGCCTCTTGCACCAATGTGTCCAGTCCTGAAATATGCTGAAGGGTGAGGTAGTCTACAGAGGCAGGACAGGCAGGACCCTATGAATCAGAAACGTAGGTCCCATACACTGTATGCCCTAAAGTAGTGTTTTTCAACCAGTGTGCCATGGAACGTTAGTGTGCCTTAATTGATATGTTATATGGTGTGTCTTGGGAAATTATCCAACATCACCAAATAATGTGAAATTAAAAAAATAATTAGAACATTAGAAATACAGCACTTTTTGATTTTCTATATAATAGAATTTGATGATAATTACTTTGTTTTGTTAATAAAAGTTGCAGATGTTTGAAAGGGTAGTGTATACCAATGAGATGCTCTGTCCCCACTACTGTTCTGCATAGGCCTGAACCCTTGACCAGACTGGCTATGGATACCGCCTCAGGAACGGAGCAAGATCAGTCACCTCCTCTTTATAGCTATATAGAAACATGCTGTAGGCCCAAATAATGTGTTGACAGCACGTGATCGGACACTGGGAGGACCCTTATCTTATGGAGCCTGTTTGCCGTGGTGATGTAAAACACGTGAGAGATAACCCTGACTATACAAAGCCGAAACCTCTGTTGTATTCACTTATGTTTTTATATCGTATGAATACTAACATAATCACAATAAAGCGCGTATGGTGTCTACATCACATTGTATACATACTTAATAAAGCTAGACGCTTAGTAAAGAAAGCCTCGGTAACTTCCAAAAGGTACACCGCGTTCAAATCACACACACGATAGTAAATAATAGATACCACAACTTCTCAAAACAACACACAGATAGCACACAGATATTTGCCATTTCCATAGGACATGTGACAAAAACGCTATGTCCTTTACAAACTATTTCACTTTCACTTACTAGACAAGTATAGGGCTGTTTCTGATCCTCGCGAATTTCATTTCGACTTTTATTCCAAACATGATACGAACTTGTGTGTCGAAGAATAAAGGCTAATTTTCTCTTTTGAAAGTGAATTCCACATTTCAGAGGAACTAACAGCGGCGCCATGTTCTGTCAGGAAAGAGTCAGAGCACTGACGTCACATCCGCTCTACGAGGACGCGCGCGGACAGCTAGCATACGAGCCGAGTTCATTATTTATTTTTGTTAGGCAATGTCTATTGAAATTTGGTTCCTCTACAACCGAGACGTCACTTGTTAACTTTTTGAAACACATATTTATTTTGAGAACGTTGGGTGGACACGATCGCTGCGCACTTCGAAGTCAAAGGAAGAGCACGTTGTCTGACAGACTGCTGCTGCTGCCACTGCTGCTGCTGCTGCGTATAGTTTGCCTTTAGTTTTAGCTTTAGTGCGCGCGTCTCTCACCTCAGGATGCCATGCCATAACCAGCAAGTGAATAATGTCAGCACTGGCCAAGAACACCCCATGAAGCAAGTACGATTCGCTAATAACACGAACAATGTGCCCGGATTACTGTCGGATGGTGATTCAAGCAATGTCACTATACAACCTGTAAATTCCCAAGACAACCTTGGACCTCAACTTAAGCTGCTGCCTCTAAACGACCAGATTCGAGAGTTGCAGACAATTATCAGAGACAAGTGAGTCTTCAGCTTCCTTTATCCACAAGCTTTTGGACAGATAACATGATTGACCTAAATATTGATTAATGTTACGTGCGTGTGACACACATACTCTGAGAGATGTATATTGTGCTTTATGCTTTCAGGACAACCAGCAGAGGAGATTTTGTGTTTAGCGCAGACAGATTGGTAAGATTGCAACTTATTTTTAGAGCAATTGTCATGTTGAACAGACAGTTTTTTTAAAAGTAAATGCAGGATGTCTCCCTAAGGAAAATTCAATTTGCATTTCTGTTTGCACTTCCAAACACAGAATACACATGGGCTGAGAATATACACTGGTGCCAAATGGGATACGTGTCCTGTCCAAAAGTTCAACTATGTGCACTGGACCAAGCTGAGATGAAGTTATTTTGAGCCACTGCAAGCCTCATAATTATGTCAATATAGTACGATTTTTCCATATTTTTTGTCTGTGTTCATCTGGGTTAGGTTGTTTGTCAGTATCGTTATTATAATAGATCCATGGTCAGTATACAACAGAACTCAAAAACGTATGGGTGGATTTTGATTACACTCTCAATTTAGACACTGTCGACACTCTTAGTGAGAAGATCCTGGATTCGGATCTTGATCGGGAAAAAAAGGGTCTTTCTGAGTAGAGTATATGTTCTCCCTGTGTCTGCGTAGGTTTTCTTTGTGCTTTTGTCTTCCCCAAAACATGTACAGACAGTCTTACCCTAAAAACATGATAGTAAAAATCCTCCAGATCTGGTAGGTCCTACTAAGCCAACCATCAACATCTGGAGACGGTTGGCTAGGCGTTGTACTAGGGTTATCACTGCCGCTGAATCGAAAATCATGGACAAGATTCTGACTCGAGAATCATTGAGTTGTATCATGTCCAGTCGTTTTTGACCATGCTTGTTTTTTCACAGATTAGACTAGTTGTGGAAGAGGGTCTAAACCAGCTGCCCTATTCGGAGTGCACAGTTACAACACCAACAGGTAAGACAAAAACAAATTATTCCAGACAAATGGTTTATTTAAACTAAAACTGTCTTGATTGTTTATTTAATATTTCATCAGGGTACAAGTATGAAGGTGTGAAGTTTGAGAGGGGCAACTGTGGCGTCAGCATTATGAGAAGCGGTATGTGGACATTGACAATCTCCTAAGAAAAAAAAGACAATTTCATGTATAATTTTATTATTAATAAATAATGAACAGTGGCACATTAGTTGGTATCAAAAGCACCTGTTATTAAATGGATAAGACAAAAACATTGTAAAAAATTTTCATTTGTTTTTCTAACCTTGCAGGTGAGGCTATGGAGCAAGGTCTCAGAGATTGTTGTCGCTCGATACGAATCGGCAAAATTCTCATCCAAAGTGATGAGGAAACACAGAAGGCCAAAGTCTATTATGCAAAGTTCCCCCCAGATATATACAGAAGGAAAGTGCTGCTTATGTATCCCATACTTAGTAAGTATAGACCACCCTACATCTGTAAATGTCAAAAGATGCTCATAGATTTCCAGCAGAGACGCTTCTCTTGAATTGACCTTCCAACGCAATCCCCATTTAGACTATTCTGATAATTGCAGCTCTTAGGATCAAATTATACACTGCCTCAGAGATGGCCAGAGTTACAGAGTAGCATGAAAAGGGCCAGTAAAAATAGTATCCTAATGGCCTTGTTTTCCCAATGGCACAAAGTATAACATTTAACACACATGCTCAAGGTTTGCTCAAGTATGTTTTAATGTCAGAAAACATTTTACAAGCTTGAAATATGAAACGCCAGTTGCTGATCTCACGGTTGCATCATCACAAAATGATTATTTCTCAAGCTGATATATTTTTTTATAATAACGTGATATTGTAATTGCTTGCAGGTACTGGAAACACTGTGATTGAAGCGGTGAAAGTGCTGCTAGAACACGGTGTCCAGCCGCGACATATTATCCTCCTCAGTCTCTTTTCAACACCTCATGGTAATCGTCCTAGATTTCTTCTGTTCATGTCAATTTAATATTGTACAAGTCCAGGTTTTTTACACTTTGTACACATAATTTTCAATGACCATTTTGCGAAAAAGCTGCACCAAAAGTTTGATGATTGACCAAATAAACACAGCCATACACAATCCTTACTTTAGTACATGTGCAGCATAACATCAGAATGGAAAAGTACAGTTATTAAACAGTTTCAAACCATTTCCTTGTTTTAGGAGCAAAATCGATCATTCAGGAATTTCCGGACATCACCATCCTCACCACGGAGGTTCACCCGGTGGCTCCCACACACTTCGGCCAGAGATATTTTGGCACAGATTAAGCTCCGTGGCCTGAGACTAACTTAAGGGACATTCTTTATTCTTGTTTATTTAAATATTTTAGCTTTTAGTTATTGTTGTTTTGCCAAATACTGTCACTCTCCAAAGTATGCAATATCAGGCACACATGCGTTAAGTGTATACTGTGTGAGTGTATGTTGTTCTTAATTATAATGAACGACAATAGATGATATAATTTTGCATGTTACAACAAAGAATTTATATTTGTCCAATGACATGAAGTCAAAATAAATATGGAACTTTTTGTTGCATTCAAGTTACTGAAAGGCATAATGGCATATTTGACTGGATGCAGGGATTTAAAACACATAAGATACAGTTAAGTTGGACAAGTGTTTCCTCAAAGCTGGTGAGACCTTTGTGTAAAGCATTAAACAGAAACACTGCCAGCAGCAAGGAATCTGGAAAGCCCCCCCAAATATTTCCACATTTAAACAATGGACTAAACACCATACAACTACTAACCCCTATCCTTGAGACCATACGTAATCATGAATATGTTGCAGTCATCTATAAATTATATAGTATAAAAGCATTTGACACAAAAGTACACAGAATAAAACAAAACATCACAACACTGCCCTGACAAAGGCCCAACACTTAGTGCAGTGTTAGCACTTGAGAAGCCAAATTTGGCTTGAATAAGTCAAAAGTCAAAGAAAGATTTAAACATTTAGAACTCTGATCTCTACCAACCAGCGGATGAGGATCAGTTGCGTTATCTACATATTTACATGTACCTGCATATTTAAAGTATCCTAAAAAATAAAATTAAACAACAGACTGAAAACAATGCGAAACATCACAATGATATGACTGTTCTCACTGGGAAGTTAACTTCCCAACGGTTTTATACACAAGTTCCCCAATGATGTATTTAAATTATATAAATATTCAGCAGCTGACAATATGATATGTTACGATATCTTTTTCAGAAACAGTACTTTGCAAATTCAGTTTTGGATACATTCTTTGGGTCCTTATGAACAGTGGGTTATTCAGAGGTTCAAAGTTCACAGTTAATTTAAAATCCAAGCAGTGATGTATAAATAGTAAATTAGTAAGTAGTAGTAAATAAATCTTTTCCCTAATATTGCAAATTGATGTCTATGATGACGCTCTTTTACACTTAACTTTCCCCGTATTCAGCTCACTTAAAAGATAACTTAACACCTTATTATAAAAAGTAGATTAGTGTCTAGAGACAATGACAGACACTATGAGCCGTTGTCTGTTCTTGTACCAAAACTGGTTCATTACAACCCTTAAGTAAATGTATTCGCTGGTTTGGCCCCCTTCGTCGATAGTGGAATATCTCTACAACACAGTCTTAATAGTTGTTGTGAACAACTAATCCTCTTCCATCTCAATGGTGACTGATGGATCGTGTTCACCCACTGGAAAAGGATGAAAAAAAAGCTGTTAGAAATGAAAATAATAGCATGTATTCAATCTTTATGGACCATTCACACTTAGCAACTGTAGTGGCCTTTGGTGCACTTTGGGCTAAACATGCTTTGTTTGTGGAGTTGTGACAGCACCAAAAAAAGGCACGCCGGTCCAGTGACGCTGTGAGTAGAGGTCACTTGAGTTTAAGGTTAAGGAAATCCAGGTCAATTGGAACCTGCTCTGCGTTTCAAAGTCTAGGATACAGCCACCAGGTGGTAGTAGAACGCCTTATATTTACTCCTGACCGATTGTCAGGAATACTTGAAGTAGCTTGAATACCTACTTTTTTTGTTTAATATACATGTTGTAAGTTTTGTTTAACTAACATTGTTTTGTGTTTTCAAAGTCAGGTCCTCCTGATTTAATATTACAATATAATATGGTGTTTGGATGTTTTGCCGTGTTCTATTTTTTATAGTTGCACAAACTTCCACAACAACCAAATTCCCAAAAGACACTTACCAAAGCTCCCTTCCTCAGAGCAGTCGTCTGAATCTTCCCATATCTCTGCAGCCAGTAATGGGTTTTGAGACTCACTATGATTCTTCAGGGGGAAGAAGTGGCCGTTCCCTTGGCTGATGGACACACATCACACATTGGTGATTGACAGACAACATAAGAAATAGCAACACAAACCTTTCCCCATTATAAGACATTTAACAGTTTGCTTATGCTTTTGTATTAGGTCAATGAATGTATAGAAAGCGTACCCAGTAAAAACAGGAATGAACCACAGTCTGCGGTCCTCTCCAAACACCTGCCGCAGATTTCTTCGGATCCCCACATTAAACCCATTTCTGTCTGGTCCATTGACAAACACTGGTGCAGAGAACGCTTCTAAAATACAAATTATGTGCATGAGTGTCTCAAGCAAACAACATCCGACCTAGTAATCTCTTAGACACAAGGTGCTTGCCTAAAGTGGATCGGTTTTTGGCCACCAACCAACAGTGATAGCCGAAGAGGAACATGAGACTGACGAAGAACATGACCGCCACAAACATGAGGAAGAGCACATGGAACTTGGCCGGCCCGTTTGGCAGATCCCCCTAAGCCGAGGAAGGGAGAGGCCAAAGTGCTAATGTGCAACACTAGTTTCCCATCAATATTCATTAGAACATTATCATCTTTACACATGGGCACTTACCACCCAGAACTTCAGGAAATACTGAAACACTGTTGCTGCGATGACTACACAATAAAGGATTGAGTATGACAGGAAGAGTAGAAAAAACTTGTAGTTGGAAAATCCCACACAGTTGTTCACCCTAAAAAAAAAATAAAACACATTTAAAACAAATTAGATCCAGTACAATAAGCTGCGGCGAGTAGGCTACGATGTCACATACCAAGGACAGTGATGATCCATCTTCAAAACACATCTAAAAACAAATATATATAAATTACTTTTTAACAGCTGAACAAAATCTTGCCAATCACACTTAAAGCCGGGGCACCCAACTTTCAAACCATATACATTTTTCACTATGCCATAAATTCCATCCAACTAGATCCTGCTTCTCAAAACAGTTTCTACTTTTCATATTCATGTTCAGTTGAAACTCAGAAAAACAGTTTTTATTCATTTTTATAATCAAACTTAAAATCTGAAAAAACATGATATACTCATGGCACGCAAAGGGACATATGTCAAGCCTTTGTTATAATTTGATGTTTAAAGTTTTGAGTCCATTTTCCATGTTCCATGTTTTATTTGGGGTTTTTACAAGCTGTGAGCCAATTATCAAGATTATAAACGGGCGGACGGTGGTTTAAGTAGATGGCACTCATTCTCAGCAAAAAGTTCCAGTGTGTGAGTCCCGGCTGGAACAGGGCCTTTCTGAGTGGCTTTTATATGTTCTCCCCGTGCCAGCATAGGATTCCTCCGGGTGCTCCGGTTTCCCGTACTACCAAAAACATGTATAATATGTATGAATGCAAATAATGGAAGATTGAATGGAGGGTGTTGGTTGGCTTTGATGTGCCAGTGTGTTCAGCGTCTCGCTTCCGTCATCACCTTGTGTGAATGGAAAAATATCTGAATTTTAAACATTGTAAAGCGCTTTGGGTGATCTTGGTCTGTAAAATGCGCTAAATAAAAAGACAACACTTAACTTACTTACTAAACAAATAAAGGCTGGATATACTGTATCGCACGTACAGAGTGTTCTTCTTCACATTTTAAGTTCAATTATGATGATTAAGTACTGGTAATATTGGACTTTTGAACGATATTCTAATTTTTCAGTTTTTGCCTCTGTCACTTTTTTCCAACAGAAAAGCAACAAAGAAAGGACCATCCTCACTCAGCCAATCAGCTCTAAGAGACTAATAAAATAAGGGTAGCATGTTGTGATCCGACAAAATCCTACTTTTATATTTCTATCATTATTCTATTTATTACTTTCAGGCAAATATGTAACAAAATCAATTTTGCTTGAATGAGAGTGGTAGGAAGAGTATTTATTGGTAAAAACTTTAGGTGTTATCAATGAAAAAGAAAAAGTTACATGCCCCAGCTTTAAAGAGCAAAACTGTATTGAATAATTAAACCACAAATATGATGTTAAATGGCACCGAAAGGTGAACATTGAGGATCAAAAACAATTCCATTTCAGCCACTTTCACAGCAAAAAGTGATTTAAAAAAGTCAATATATGTTAGAATTTGTCAAAAATGTATCTTGATTTGAGCACATTTTGACTGCCTTAAAACGAGATTTGAAAATGAGACAAGCTAAATTATCTTGTTTAAAAAGGAAGGTCTCTCTTGAAGTGAGAAATTAAAGCAACAGTTCTTGAAATTAGGCTAAAAGGCTTTGTCCCATTGGTAAATCTTGTTTCAAAGCAGTCAGAATGTACTCAAATTAGAATTTAAAAAACACTACAGATTATTACTTTTTTTGCAGTGTTTGTTTAATGAATTGTTTTGAGCTATAATTAATAAAATCACATGACCCTACCCCAGCACTATAGAAAACTTATATATCACGACTTTAATGCATCTGCTCTCTGTTTTGTGTCCTGATTCATGATGCAAACAGAATCGCACCACTTCCCACAAAACAACATCTTTTCAAAAAACACAAACTGATGTAAAAAATAAAATAAAAATACAATTCAAGTTTTAATGTTTCTACGTGAATGGAGCCGAGAGGAAAGGCGGACTTACGTTTCACAAACCGAGCAGTGGTGACAGCGGTCAGGCTTCAGCACCTGGCAGCGGTCACAGAACCTGATAGCTGGAGACAAGAGGAAGACCAGTTGAATGAACGACATTCGAGACACGCTTTACCCTTTGCTTATTTCCTGAAGCCACGAACATTGCAATCAGCACTAATGAAAAAGATACATTGACTGATTACGCTGCATGGGGACGCTCCGAGTTCCACTAACAGCTGATTGCCTTAGCCTGCTTGTCACGAGTGCACACGACCCACGGATAAAGACACAGGGGTGAAGACAATGCTCTTACCTCCAGATTGTGCCCGAGTGGAAATGGGCAGCTTTTTGGCAATTTCAACAAGAATCTGCTTCTGAGCATCGGGCCTTTCCTCCATCTCATATCTTTCTTTGTCTGAATATGACAGCTGAAACTATAAATAATGCAAAAGCCAGTTTGTCAACAATAATGGCAACAGAGCATACTCAAAGCTCTTAACAAAACAATAATCATACAAGGCATTCAAATCATAGTCACAGTCCATTAAAAAGAGTGAAGATTCAGTTGTCTGTACAGCCAAACAAAACAGTATTTGAACATTGTAGAGTAGAAGCCTGTCTCGCATTTTCAGGAAGATTTTAAATGCATACATCTGAAATGCTGCCTCCACATGTTTAGCTCTGACTCTGGGCACTAGCAGGAGGTTCATACAGCACTAACATGTCACAGATCTAGTATGTATGTATGTATGTATGCATTACCTTTTTACATGGAGAAGCAGGAGGCGTAAAGATGGACTTCCAGTAGGTCCACGAGAACATCATGAAGCAAATATGAAAAACTAGAAGATAGGCCACTGCAACAACAAGAAAGTACCATTCATCAGTCATATGGCAAGACAAATGCTGTGGTCAATGACACATATAGATAAAACCAAACACTGACCTTTTTCAAATGTATTCTTAATAGTGACTGTAAAGTAAAAGGAAAAGCATACATTAAAAGGTTGTAAGGACTAAAAGAGGGAAGCTACAGGGAGATGTGGTTATTCTTTATACAACAGATCAGACTGGCACTGTTTTCAAAGACGATAGATCAAGACTAGGGTCATTTGAGTGAAATACATTCAAACGTCGTTTCCGCTTTGTTAGTCGCTCGTCAAGCTGTCAACACTGCCGTGCGACGTAAATCACAACAGAACCCCGGAAACCTCGGTGTACTTACACAGGCACAACTCAAAGACATACGCGTAATACGACCACAGGACCACGGAGGTGATGATGAGGACGGGGATCCAGGAGAAAACCCTTGTGCAGCATCTCAACCCTCGGGAGAGAGCCATATTCAGCCCAAGATCGGGACTCATCTGCGCTCGGCTACTATTCCTGCGGATTGTCCATCAGTCCCGGAAGTAGCGAGATCACGTGGGCTGCCAAGATAAAACAATAAAAATATAAAAAATAAATAAAGGATAAGGCAATGTATTATATCCTAACAGAGAAGGTCCTTTGGAGTAATGTTACACCAAAATATAATAATAATAGTATCACAGAGTATCACCACGTTGTTTTTTTAATGATCCACGCCCTGTTTGCTGAATGAACAGCATTATCATCAGTGTTGCCATATTTACAGTGTATGGGTTGAACGAGTAAAACAGGTTTGGCCCTGGTCTCTGCTGCACTAACTATTATAATCTCGCTACAAATAGTAACAGCGAATCCTGATTTTGTATTCTTTCTGAGTAAATAAAAAGCCCAATTTATCAACGACTGACGCATAATTGAGTTGTCTTCATCCAAAATTCCACTAGATGGCGCTGTGTGTGTATAATACGTTGAAAGTCTTTAGTGGATTATTTTTGACTAACAGTCATCAAATAATAATCAAAGTTTCTCAAGGCCTTCCACTAACGAGATCCTTCACTAACAAATCACATTAATTTTCAGAGAAATTAGAGGGTTATTTCCTTTAAAAATACAGCAACAAATTATAAACATATACGTACATAATGCCCATTTTATGAAAGATAAACAGTAACAGACAACTGTGACGTAAAAGCAATATTTTATGGCAAAGAACAAATGGAAAACTGCTGCATACAAAGACTTTGGGGCCATGACTTGACCAGCTTTAGAGAGAGATTCACGTTTCATCAACAGGCCAAACAAGTGCTGATCAGAGATGCAGTCAAGAGGTCCATGGTAAGTCTGGAGGAGCTGCAGAGATCCTCAGTTGAGCTGGAGAAATCTGTACATGGGGAAAATAGTAGTCTGGTATACTACACAAATATAGCCTTTGTAGAAAGTCATAATACATATCAAGCCACTAAAACAGCTTACTTTCACCTGCACAACATGAATACAATTAGAAAAGCCTAAACGTGATGCTGATAAAATGTATCCATGCATTGGTCACCTCCAGGCTTGACTACTGTGATGTTCTGCTTGCAGCATTTCCATAACAAGCTTTCAGCTAGTCCAAAATACAGCAGCAAGCATTTCAGCAGCCACTTCATTGACTTTGCGTGGACTAAAGAATAGCACATTAAAAGACATATTTTGACATACAAGGCAATATGGAATATTAATTAAACTCTCAAAATGCCATGACTTCTGTTGGTTCCTCTTGAGTGTCTCTGCTATTATTGTAGATCCATGCTCAAAACATAGAAGGAGGCCTTCTCCCTGGCAGTGATGGACTACAACAAAAAACATAACGTAAACAAACAAGCTTCATTTGGAGACACCTTGCATCTTGACTGTGACCTCTACTCTCCCCTACATTACTATTATACAATCTGACTTCACTTCTGTTCATTGCTTTTCACCGACTTGTCCCATTATCTGTATCATGATGTAATGATACCAACCTGGAATCTGGACTCCCTGACGGCCGATCTCCTCCTGCCCAGACTGCTCTCTACCCTTGGCCAGCACAATGGCTCGACAGATATGAACTCAGTCCTGGAGCTATAGTCTTTTCGTCCACGGGAATAGATCCTTCTCTTACTGTGGTTCTCCCTAAGGTTTATTTTTGGATTGCTATGTATAGAACAATGAGTCTTACTTCTAAATTACAACACTGCTGACTTTGGGATTTGAATTGTTCGAACATGTGAAAGAAGGTGCTGAGGTCAAATGAGACCAACATATGAAGTTATGACTTAAAAGAAAATTGCAATGTGTGCTGAAAAAATACACTATTCATCACTCACACCGTCCATACTGACAAACCAAGTGGTGGCAGCATCGTGCTGTGGGGCTACTCTTCTTCAGCAGGAACAATAGATTTAAAGGTGGATCAACTAAAAACAGGACAATCTTGGAAATGAAAGTGTTGAAATTATCAAAAATGTGAGACTGAAGTTGTCTTTTACATTTCTTTAAGTTATGTTTTCTCTTCACAATTGGCTGTCACTGTGTTTTGGCCAGTGCGATATCTTCATGTTTGAGGTTATAATGAGACAAAATGTGGAAACATTCATGAGTTTTGAACACATTTTCAAAGCATATACGTATGCTTTTTCATACATATATGACACCACCTGCATGTGCAGCCTGACTTTGCAGGGCGGCGGCGGCTGCGGCTGTAAAGTGCCAATCGTCATTGTGCCCTTAGGCAAGACAATTGCTCGGAATCAGAATCCTTTTATTTCCATGTAAGTAACGTAGGAAGTCCCAGACTAGGAAATTGCTTTGGCACTCGGTGCAACAGTCAAGGAAGAGAGGTAGAGAATAGAGTTAGGCATAGTAAAAATCAGCAAATAATTCTAAGGTATAAAAATGTTAATTATTTAATTTAAATTGACTATATACAATATATTTAGTGCACTTGGTGCACACATTATACAGTGAGAAGTGCAGTAAAGTGGCTTTATAAAGGGTAGGGGGACAGGTTATGAAGTGTTCATGAGCGTAAGTCAGGGCTGCACCCAATTCAGAGAGCACCAGCCCCTCACTGATCATCCTGCAAGTGGTGAGTCCACAGGAGGATGGCTGCTCTCGTCTGAGCTGCCTTGATCTTTCAGCGGGGGCGTCAGGTAAAGTGGGGTTACGTGTCTTGCCCAAGAACACGACAGCAGATCACTAGAAATCATTTCAAAAACCGAAAAACATCACACCAACCCAGAATTGGAGCCTATTTAATCATATCCTTAAAGAGACATCTTTAAGGTGAGCAACTGTAATCTTTTATTCGCGTGGGTCTGTATCAGTTCAGTCAAACTATCCTCCAGTCTTTGTGTGTGCAACAGTGTCGCCGGCTGCTGGCCCTCAGAGCAGCATCCTTTCCACTACAACGTCCAAACATGTGCCTCAAACATTTTGTATAAGCAGGTAACGACAAACTCCATATTGTCATTCCGGTGTTGGAAGTGCATTCCTGGCCTTCCTGGTGGGAGTCTACATAAGCAGACAGTAGGGCTGGATGAGAGCCTTTTTGGGGAGAACTCATGCGTAGCTGCAGAGAAGTGTGAAACCACAGGGACTTTCAATGCAAGCCTATTAACTGGCAAAGGCATGCACAATGGCTGACACGGTCCAGTTCCTGGAGTTTGCTCCTGAGCTGCTGCTTTCCGTTCTGCCTTGAAGGTGAAATGGCACTTAAAGTGTGCAGTCTATTTGACCCCTGAGACAGTCAGGTCAAGCTTTACAGTGCTGAGTGATAGTTATAGTGGTGCTGCTCAGTTCATGAAAAGGTCTGCTGTGTTAAAATGCTTATGAGGAAATGCTATAATTTGGTTCACATCAAATCGTTGTCATATTTTTATTTTGATAAATTGAAGGTTTGATTGGAGTTGCTTTTGCATTCCCCACATACTTCACTGTCTGGACATAAAAGCTCTGTGCTTGACGTCTAAAATGTAGTCTGCACACGTGGGCATACTGTATTGTCATTGGTGAGTAGCCAGGTGATCAAAGGGCTGCTAGCCCACATTTACACCATTGATATGTGTAAAAATTGAGTGAAGTAGACTAATTAGAAAGAGAGACCAGCTCAAGAAAACACAAATGATTTCATATAACATGGTCTCACATGTCATTTGTAATTTAAGCTAACACAAAGCAGAAAAGATCAGAATCCATTTTTACCATTAACGCCTTAACAGAATTTTCTCAAAGCTCTAGCTGTGCTTGATGTGCACTATTCTTGCTCATAGATGTCATGAGGAATTAGATAGAATAATACATGCATTTTAGGGATTTTACCTCATACTGCTAATGTCTGGAATGAGAAAAAGACTCAGTTGCAGCATCGCAAACAAGGACATGGCTTTCAGAGGTCTGGAAAGCTGCTGGACTGGTGACATCAATGTGCAGTGCTCAGTGGAGCACGGTAAGACCCATGGTTCTGCTCATATTCACACTTGCAGAACAAACAATGACAGGGTGGGGAGGACTTGCAAACACCTCACCCATGTGTGAAAATTAATCTGCTTAAGGGTGGAGACCTGTGTGTCTTCAACAATCATGGAAATCTGAATGTTAATGCCACAGAGAGGGCCATGTGCCTTTTAATAAGACTACACTTGTTCACACCTTGTATGTAACTTGTTACGGTATACTTGACCCTTTTTTCCTTGCATTTGATCCACTCTGCAATGCCACTAGGGCCTCTATCAGGAGCCATGTCAGTCTGCTTGGTCAATGCTTGGCTTGGTCAGGTCTCCATAGAACATGTAACGTCCATGCAGAAAGAATCTCAAAAACTTTTGGAGGTGTCTTTTCCCATCAGCCATTGCTCTGTGGTGATGATGTGTGGAGTATGGGGTAAATGATGCTGATGATCCTCACTGAAACAGAGATGATAAACACAGCTTGGAGAAACGTACTCCTCTTTCATAATCTTCCTTCTATAAATAATATAATTATTTTACGTGAAGACACATGAAGAGGTGTATATAATACAGAACTGTGGAGAACATGATATATTTATGTGAAGTAGAAAAAATGATAGATCCAACATCTGCTATTTCCTTACCATGCCACTTGAGGACACGTAATGTCCAATTGTTATTGCTGAGAACATTAGTGCCATAATGTGTGGTTCAAATAAAAACACCTAAAAACACAAAGTCAAAACCTTTATAGAGAAAATGATGTTTTATAAAACTGCTGATGATGCAATTTCATGAATAATGATTATTCACATTAAGTATTTTGGAGATTTTATGACACTTGTCTTTGAAGCAACTGTGGTTAAACATCATGATAACAAAGCAGAAGCAGTGCTTTTCCACTACATGTTTTATTTCTCCGTCAGGGTGACAGTGGCTCAGTTGGTAGAGCATTGGCCTTCGAGCCTGAAGGTTGTGGGTTCGAGCCCACCGCAAGTCTTTCTCCACCGACCCCCACTCATGTCTGCTGTCGTTGTGTCCCTGAGCAAGACACTTAACCTCTGGGAACACCAGGTGCCTTAGTGGGGTGGCTGTGGCAGTAAAGTGCCAAACTGCCATTGTGTCCTAGAATGGGGTGTGTGTGAATGGTTGGTGGTGCTCGGAGGGGCTGATGGTACGTACTGGTTGCCTCGCTTCTGTCAATTATGGCTACAGTAGTTGGTCATACACCAGTGTGTATGGAGTGAAAGAATACTGACATCTGAAGCCTCTTTGAGTGTCCAGAAAAGCGCTATATAAAACCGATGCATTATGATGTCAAGGCCTAAGCCACTGGCATCGTGGCAAATACTGATCGAACTGTCTATGATTCTTCCTGTATAATATCACTTGCATTGTGTGAATCTCTGTTCATGCCTGTCTCTACCATCGAAGTTAAGTGGTGGAGAATGCGGGCATTGTCTGAAGAACTAACATCAACATGACAGAGGACTTTTCTTTTTTTTTTCAAGGCAAAACTGAAAATCCTCAAGACACACCATGCATCTGGATCAGCGCACTTGGACAATCTGCACAGTCCCTGATTCCAAAAAGGTCTGCTGTAAGCTGCTGAGAATACCAATAGCAATACCATCGTCCTCAGTTGCATGGACATAATTTGGAGCAATAAGGATTTCTGAATTTGGACATCATTGGCTCATGAAAGATCAAGGCTATGCTCACACTCAGAGAGCAGCCGTCCTCCTGTGGACTCACCACCTGCAGAGGGTCAGTGAGGGGCTGGTGCTATGAGACTTGGGTGGCATCTCTGATTGCCACCCCGCTGACCCAGAAATGGATTAAAGGGTAGAAAATGGATGGATGGATGGATGAATTTGGACATAATTTGGGCTGAATTGGATTGCCCTCAGATTGGAACCTCCTTCCCACAACCATTAGAAATGCACTCTATACCTCACATACAAAATACTGGCTCATTGATACAGTAACCAAGCATGTCAGCACTGACCCCGCCTGCTCTCGCTGCCCCCTGCTGACCCCCTGCTGACCGCTTGCTCTGTGTCTGTCTCCTTATGTGTGTATCGTTTGTTGAATGATGTGTGACTGAACGTTTTCTTAACTGTCTGTGTAGCAGACATGTTTTTATCTTTCAGGAGACATGGGACTACAGATGAGAAATAGCCGCTTGGCTAATTCTGGCATTATTACAGGGATGTTAAATTAGATAAATTGCTGAATTAGAATACTCAAGCTGAAACGTGTGATTGAATGAAACGTCACAGAAGAACTCACAACTCGACTCAAGAAATCCAACCTGAAAGTGAGAGAGACTGTTTTCAAAGCAATATCTGAGAACCACCATCGACTGATGAAGTTTGGTATTTTAATGAAGATTGTTGATGAGTTTTATAAAAGTTCTGAACATGTTTTCTGATGTATTAGGTTTTCTGAGTTTTTTAAGAATCCTGAAGTATACTGCGTTTATGAGTTTTTGAAGTATTGAGTTATGACGTTATATTGCTCTGGACTCTGGAGATTTCATGACATTTTGAAGCAATTGTGGTTAAAGTTAAACTCATCATTCAAACAAAATGCACAAGGCTGCAGTTTTCCACTACATGCCGATTGGACGGTCTATGATTCTTCCTGTAGAATACCACTTGCATTGTGTGAATCTCTGTCTGATCCCAAACGTTTGTCATTTTCCTCAGTATACAGCAATATTATTGGAACTCTACTTAAATACATACATAACACAAATACATACATCTACATGAATTCAGGATGGCATAACCTTAAACATAATTAAGGTTATGGTCATCCAAAAAAAGTGTACCGGAACATCTTTGAGAAACACCAAGTATGCTGTACAGAACCCGTAAGCTTCCAAGTCTCTGGAGGACCTGACAACATGGAGGAGGCTCCAGTCCATAATAATCTTTTCCTCATGTCACACGTCCCACTCGACATGGGACTTGCTGACGGGTTCATACGGACAGTGGAGGGAGAGGGACTTAAAGCGTGGTGTGTGTGATGTCTGGTCAAGCTGAGGTCATTTGGGTCAGATAACCCCCACTGTTCATATCTACATTCAACACATAATAGAAAACAGACAGTCATACTCACAGATCCTGGCCCTTGACTGAGGATATGGACTCTATTTCCCACTCTGGAACACAGTCTTTATTCTCATTTTTTCTTAATTCAATCAAATGTTTGATCAGCGTTGCCATGGACGATTAGTCTGATTGCACAGGAATCAAAGCGAGGTTTGATTCCAGGGGTGGACCCAGCCACATATTATATCTATAATAAAAACGTCTAGACATATAGGTATTTCAGCTATGCCTGTGTTTGTCACTAAAGAGGCTCATTTGTTTATTTGAATTTGTATTGAATTTGATACACACAGGTGCTATTGTTCATTTGCATGGTCATATGACAAGAATAATATATGAAAAGAATAATGTAATACATAATACACCATTCCAAGTAATTCTGAAGGTCTGCTGTGGGCTGCAGGGGGTGGTTTAGGAGGCAGATATTTTTAAATGGCTGTTTTATTTTTTACAAAGAGAATCAAAGAGAATCCCATAAATACATACAGTTAATACACACTGACAACATAGCCTAAACTCTATTCGGTCTAAGTCCAAATACTGCATAGATACATACTACATACGTGTGTGTGTGCGTGTGTGTGTGTGTGTGTGTGTGTGTGTGTGTGTGAAAGTGGTTTTCTCAAAAGTCTTTTTAAGCCAGAAACCTGAGAAAAGTGGTAAATTTGTGTGTCCGCCACTGCCCCTAGTGGTGGTTTTCTCCCGCGCGGGAAAAAAGGGAATTATACACAACCGCGGGAAAATATACACAACCACACACAAAGTCAGCACTGCGCATGCTCCGTGGGGAAGGACAGAAGAGTGTCTTTTCTGTCAAGGGGAAGTTTATGCATTTCTGCAGTAATTATACATCCACAAAGGAGACAGGAGAGGAGCAGCCGCGCAGAGGGACACAGGACATGGAGAGACACCCGCACGGAGGTAGGAGAGAGTTTTCACTGTCACCACATAGCACAAAGCAGCCTAGTTTAGCAGCAGAGCTAACGCTAAAGCTAACGCGAATGTGTGCTGCAGCCACTTGTTCAGAAAATCTACAGCAACTATATTGTCCACAGAGGAGACAGGGCCGTGGTGAGTCAATACTGGGAAGAGTTACAGCTGGCCACAGGTTGTTTAGCACAAAGTATCCTAGATTAGCTGCGGAGCTAAGTGGCTAACGCCCAGTTTATGCATACTACATAATGCCTATTGCTTTTGTAAGGCCAGTTAGAAGACTACAATTATAAGAACAATAGAGATAAGACATTTGAGGTATTTATTATGATGCACTTTTTGCAGAAATCATACAAATAGGCTTTGATTATCCATTAATAGCAAAGGGCATAGCATAATCCTTATGCCATAACATTATAAGCGTCCCATTTAGCCCACATAGTCCATAACCTCCAACATCTGCTTCCACTGGGATGTGAGTGACTTGATGATGAAATAACAATAGTATAATAATCACTAGTACCTTCCATTTGCATGGAAATGCTTGTTAATTAAAATGTTTTAGTTTCATTAAATTATATACATCTGTATTCTTAATAGAAATAAAATAATAGGCCTACTGTGTTCCTTAAAGCTTAAAAGAGATGTGTTCCCCGGTAAGGGGCTGTTTTGGCGATAGTATGTTATTACTATAGGGTATATTATATAACCTGCATGTATTAGGTCTATAATAGTCTATTAGAATTAATACAATTTAATCATTCATAATGTGCTCCTCTGGACTCTAGTTTTAAAGGTTCCATATTACGCTTTTCTTCATATTTCACAGTCCATCCTATGCACATGTGTGATAATGATTTGACTTGTGAGATTATAGCCATCTCTCCATCACAGAAACAACATGATTACAGAGATCCTGAGCATTACAATGATTTATAACCTATGTTGGCAGAGCTGATGTTGGCTAGATGACATTGAAAATGTGTATATTGTTACATATCAAGAGAGAGAGGGCCCCAATAGGCCCCAGACCTCAATTTGGGTATGGCTGGTGAAGATGATGTGTATTTTTCTGTTCCTCTTGTTTAGACACAGCTCAGTGGTATAAGCATCATTGCTGGACAACATGTTGCAGAGTTTGGTGACCACACAGTGACTTGGACCCTGATGTTCTCTCTGCAGACTTATCCAGAGGTAATACCTTACTTAACCCTCTTCTCTACAAGATGCAGTACTATTTAAAATGGCCATGCTCATATACAAAATAATTGAGCAAGACCGTGTTGAACCAGTGCCGAAATCATAGCGAAGCGAGTGCAGCTGCAGCAGCGTGCCAGTGTTGTACCGCAACAAACACAAACTTTAGACACTTTAAACACTTCAGACGCTCAGTGTCAGTTGGAACAGTATTTCTCAGGGTCAGGGCGGTCATTTGGAAGTTTGAAGAAAGGTTAGATTTGCGGAGAACAAGACTAGGAGTTTAGACTGGGCGACAGTGGCTCACTTAGTAGAGCATTGGTCTTTAAGGCTGAAGCTCGTGGGTTCGAGCCCACCACGAGACCTACTTCACGACTCCCACTGGTGATTGCTGTCATTTTGTCCTTGGGCAAGACACATAACCCCACTTTGCCTAAAGCCCCCACTCAAAAATCAAGGCTCCTATGGACTCACTACCTGCAGGAGGATCAGGGAGGGGCTGGTGCTCTGTGAACTGGGTGTAGCTCTGACTGCCACCCCCCCGACCCAGAAATGGATTAAGGGGAAGAAGATGGATGGATGGATGATTAGAAGTCAGTGCCCTGACGTCCAGCCTCCGCTAATAGTGTCATATTCACGGGGCGGCAGTAACGTTGGACGAGATAGAGAGAGCAGGGTTTGGGCCATCCTTAATTGTTATAATTTACAGAAATCCTCAATCTCTTATCACTTTTAAGTTATAGCATTTTAAAAATAAGATTAAAAAATCGAGCATTTTAGATAAAACCTTAGCTACTCCTGGTAAAAACACCTGGTCTTGCTAAGCATTGTGCCTTCATATCATGTGTTCTCCTCAACAGACGCTGAACTGAAAGTGAAGAGTCAGACAGCCCTGCGCAACAGGTTAGTTCTGCTGCTTAATTTTGGATGCATGATGTTTAGAAACTATGGTTTGTAAGGGACATATTTACTTTAAACACTTGGCTGCATCATTTAGAGTGTCATAAACTTAGGTTTGAGTGAGCGTGTCCCTTTAAGACATGTGAATATCTTACTCTGAGTAGTTAAATGTCTCATTTTCAGTTTCTGCATCGGCAAACACTCAAAGCAGTTGCGTAAAGTCATGGGAGCATGAAAACGCATATGTTCACAAGCACTATGTCCCCCATTGTCAACCCCGGTTTTAGTCCTGGTGTGGCTCCTGTTTTAGCCGTTGACAGTATGTTCAGCCTCCTGTGGACTCACCACCTGCAGAGGGTCAGTGAGGGGCTGGTGCTATGAGACTTGGGTGGCATCTCTGACTGCCACCCCCCTGACCCAGAAATGGATTAAAGGGTAGAAAATGGATGGATGGAGTATGTTCAGTCTGCTTGCTCAGTCCGCTAATGTCCCCGTGACCACTTTGCGGCTCTCTCTCTCTGCGGATTGGTTGCTGCACGTACGTCCGAGGAAACGTTCAGCAATATTTATCTCCTGCGTGCATACATTTTCCGCTCCTGTTCCTCACCCCTTTGACTTTGCCGCGCAGTCTGAGTCTCTAGTGAGCAGTCCGTGTGTCTCTAGTGAGCAGTCCGTGTGTCTCTAGTGAGCAGTCCGTGTGTCTCTAGTGAGCAGTCCGTGTGTCTCTAGTGAGCAGTCCGTGCGTCTCTAGTGAGCAGTCCGTGTGTCTCTACTGAAGAGTCCGTGCGTCTCTACAGAGCAGTCCGTGCGTCTCTACTGAGCAGTCTGTGCGTCTATACAGAGCAGTCCGTGTGTCTCTACAGAGCAGTCCGTGTGTCTCTACTGAACAGTCCGTGCGTCTCTACTGAGCAGTCCGTGCGTCTCTAGTGAGCAGTCTGTGCGTCTCTACTGAGCAGTCTGTGTGTCTCTAGTGAGCAGTCTGTGTGTCTCTAGTGAGCAGTCCGTGTGTCTCTACTGAGCAGTCCGTGTGTCTCTAGTGAGCAGTCCGTGTGTCTCTAGTGAGCAGTCCGTGTGTCTCTACTGAGCAGTCCGTGTGTCTCTAGTGAGCAGTCCGTGCGTCTCCACTGAAGAGTCCGTGCGTCTCTACAGAGCAGTCCGTGCGTCTCTACAGAGCAGTCCGTGCGTCTCTACAGAGCAGTCCGTGCGTCTCTACAGAGCAGTCCGTGCGTCTCTACAGAGCAGTCCGTGCTTCTCTACTGAACAGTCCGTGCGTCTCTACTGAGCAGTCCCTGCGTCTCTACTGAGCAGTCCGTGCGTCTCTAGTGAGCAGTCCGTGTGTCTCTAGTGAGCAGTCCGTGTGTCTCTACTGAGCAGTCCGTGTGTCTCTACTGAGCAGTCCGTGTGTCTCTAGTGAGCAGTCCGTGTGTCTCTAGTGAGCAGTCCGTGTGTCTCTAGTGAGCAGTCCGTGTGTCTCTAGTGAGCAGTCCGTGTGTCTCTACTGAGCAGTCCGTTCGTCTCTAGTGAGCAGTCCGTGTGTCTCTACTGAACAGTCTGTGCGTCTCTACTGAGCAGTCCGTGCGTCTCTAGTGAGCAGTCCGTGCGTCTCTACTGAGCAGTCCGTGCGTCTCTACTGAGCAGTCTGTGTGTCTCTAGTGAGCAGTCTGTGTGTCTCTAGTGAGCAGTCCGTGTGTCTCTAGTGAGCAGTCCGTGTGTCTCTAGTGAGCAGTCCGTGCGTCTCCACTGAAGAGTCCGTGCGTCTCTACAGAGCAGTCCGTGCGTCTCTACAGAGCAGTCCGTGTGTCTCTACAGAGCAGTCCGTGCGTCTCTACAGAGCAGTCCGTGCTTCTCTACTGAACAGTCCGTGCGTCTCTACTGAGCAGTCCCTGCGTCTCTACTGAGCAGTCCGTGCGTCTCTAGTGAGCAGTCCGTGTGTCTCTAGTGAGCAGTCCGTGTGTCTCTACTGAGCAGTCCGTGTGTCTCTACTGAGCAGTCCGTGTGTCTCTAGTGAGCAGTCCGTGTGTCTCTAGTGAGCAGTCCGTGTGTCTCTAGTGAGCAGTCCGTGTGTCTCTAGTGAGCAGTCCGTGTGTCTCTACTGAGCAGTCCGTTCGTCTCTAGTGAGCAGTCCGTGTGTCTCTACTGAGCAGTCCGTGTGTCTCTAGTGAGCAGTCCGTGTGTCTCTACTGAGCAGTCCGTGTGTCTCTACTGAGCAGTCCGTGCGTCTCCACTGAAGAGTCCGTGCGTCTCTACAGAGCAGTCCGTGCGTCTCTACAGAGCAGTCCGTGCGTCTCTACAGAGCAGTCCGTGCGTCTCTACAGAGCAGTCCGTGCTTCTCTACTGAACAGTCCGTGCGTCTCTACTGAGCAGTCCCTGCGTCTCTACTGAGCAGTCCGTGCGTCTCTAGTGAGCAGTCCGTGTGTCTCTAGTGAGCAGTCCGTGTGTCTCTACTGAGCAGTCCGTGTGTCTCTACTGAGCAGTCCGTGTGTCTCTAGTGAGCAGTCCGTGCGTCTCTAGTGAGCAGTCCGTGTGTCTCTACTGAGCAGTCCGTGTGTCTCTACTGAGCAGTCCGTGTGTCTCTACTGAGCAGTCCGTGCGTCTCCACTGAAGAGTCCGTGCGTCTCTACAGAGCAGTCCGTGCGTCTCTACTGAACAGTCCGTGCGTCTCTACTGAGCAGTCCGTGCGTCTCTAGTGAGCAGTCCGTGTGTCTCTAGTGAGCAGTCCGTGTGTCTCTAGTGAGCAGTCTGTGTGTCTCTACAGAGCAGTCCGTGCGTCTCCACTGAAGAGTCCGTGCGTCTCTACTGAGCAGTCCGTGCGTCTCCACTGAAGAGTCCGTGCGTCTCTACAGAGCAGTCCGTGCGTCTCTACTGAACAGTCCGTGCGTCTCTACTGAGCAGTCCGTGCCTCTCTAGTGAGCAGTCCGTGTGTCTCTAGTGAGCAGTCCGTGTGTCTCTAGTGAGCAGTCCGTGTGTCTCTACTGAGCAGTCCGTTCGTCTCTAGTGAGCAGTCCGTGTGTCTCTACTGAGCAGTCTGTGTGTCTCTAGTGAGCAGTCCGTGCGTCAGTGAGCAGTCCGTGTGTCTCTAGTGAGCAGTCCGTGTGTCTCTAATGAGCAGTCCGTGCGTCTCTACAGAGCAGTCCGTGCGTCTCTACTGAGCAGTCTGTGTGTCTCTAGTGAGCAGTCCGTGCGTCTCCACTGAAGAGTCCGTGCGTCTCTACAGAGCAGTCCGTGCGTCTCTACAGAGCAGTCCGTGCGTCTCTACTGAACAGTCCGTGCGTCTCTACTGAGCAGTCCCTGCGTCTCTACTGAGCAGTCCGTGCGTCTCTAGTGAGCAGTCCGTGTGTCTCTAGTGAGCAGTCCGTGTGTCTCTACTGAGCAGTCCGTGTGTCTCTAGTGAGCAGTCCGTGTGTCTCTAGTGAGCAGTCCGTGTGTCTCTAGTGAGCAGTCCGTGTGTCTCTAGTGAGCAGTCCGTGTGTCTCTAGTGAGCAGTCCGTGTGTCTCTACTGAGCAGTCCGTGTGTCTCTAGTGAGCAGTCCGTGTGTCTCTACTGAGCAGTCCGTGTGTCTCTACTGAGCAGTCCGTGTGTCTCTACTGAGCAGTCCGTGTGTCTCTACTGAGCAGTCCGTGCGTCTCTACAGAGCAGTCCGTGCGTCTCTACTGAACAGTCCGTGCGTCTCTACTGAGCAGTCTGTGTGTCTCTAGTGAGCAGTCCGTGTGTCTCTAGTGAGCAGTCCGTGCGTCTCTACTGAGCAGTCTGTGTGTCTCTAGTGAGCAGTCTGTGTGTCTCTAGTGAGCAGTCCGTGTGTCTCTAGTGAGCAGTCCGTGTGTCTCTACTGAGCAGTCTGTGTGTCTCTAGTGAGCAGTCCGTGCGTCTCCACTGAGGAGTCCGTGCGTCTCTGCAGAGCAGTCCGTGCGTCTCTACAGAGCAGTCCGTGCGTCTCTACAGAGCAGTCCGTGCGTCTCTACAGAGCAGTCCGTGCGTCTCTACAGAGCCGTCCGTGCGTCTCTACTGAACAGTCCGTGCGTCTCTACTGAGCAGTCCCTGCGTCTCTACTGAGCAGTCCGTGCGTCTCTACTGAGCAGTCCGTGCGTCTCTAGTGAGCAGTCCGTGTGTCTCTAGTGAGCAGTCCGTGTGTCTCTAGTGAGCAGTCCGTGTGTCTCTACTGAGCAGTCCGTTCGTCTCTAGTGAGCAGTCTGTGTGTCTCTACTGAGCAGTCTGTTTGTCTCTAGTGAGCAGTCCGTGCAACTCTAGTGAGCAGTCCGTGTGTCTCTACTGAAGAGTCCGTGCGTCTCTACAGAGCAGTCCGTTCGTCTCTAGTGAGCAGTCTGTGTGTCTCTACTGAGCAGTCTGTTTGTCTCTAGTGAGCAGTCCGTGCAACTCTAGTGAGCAGTCCGTGTGTCTCTACTGAAGAGTCCGTGCGTCTCTACAGAGCAGTCCGTGCGTCTCTACTGAGCAGTCCGTGCGTCTCTACAGAGCAGTCCGTGCGTCTCTACTGAACAGTCCGTGCGTCTCTACTGAGCAGTCCGTGCGTCTCTAGTGAGCAGTCCGTGCGTCTCTACAGAGCAGTCTGTGTCTCTAGTGAGCAGTCCGTGTGTCTCTAGTGAGCAGTCCGTGCGTCTCTACTGAGCAGTCTGTGTGTCTCTAGTGAGCAGTCTGTGTGTCTCTAGTGAGCAGTCCGTGTGTCTCTACTGAGCAGTCCGTGTGTCTCTACTGAGCAGTCCGTGTGTCTCTAGTGAGCAGTCCGTGTGCCTCTAGTGAGCAGTCCGTGTGTCTCTACTGAGCAGTCTGTGTGTCTCTAGTGAGCAGTCCGTGCGTCTCCACTGAAGAGTCCGTGCGTCTCTACAGAGCAGTCCGTGCGTCTCTACAGAGCAGTCCGTGCGTCTCTACTGAACAGTCCGTGCGTCTCTACTGAGCAGTCCCTGCGTCTCTACTGAGCAGTCCGTGCGTCTCTACTGAGCAGTCCGTGCGTCTCTACTGAGCGATCCTTGCGTCTCTACAGAGCAGTCCGTGCGTCTCTACTGAATAATCCGTGCGTCTCTACTGAATAGTCCGTGCGTCTCTACTGAATAGTCCGTGCGTCTCTACTGAAAAGTCCGTGCGTCTCTGCTGACCAGTCTTTGTGTCTCTACCGAGCAGTCCCTGCGTCTCTACTGAGCAGTCCGTGCGTCTCTACAGAGCAGTCCGTGCGTCTCTACTGAATAGTCCGTGCGTCTCTACTGAGCAGTCCGTGCGTCTCTACAGAGCAGTCCGTGCGTCTCTATTGAGCAGCCTGTGCGTCTCTACAGAGCAGTCCGTGCGTCTCTATTGAACAGCCTGTGCTGTGCGTCTCTACAGAGCAGTCCGTGTGTCTCTACAGAGCAGTCCGTGCGTCTCTACAGAGCAACGTCTCTACTGAGCAGTCCGTGTGTCTCTACAGAGCAGTCCGTGCGTCTCTACTGAGCAGTCCGTGCGTCTCTACTGAGCGATCCTTGCGTCTCTACAGAGCAGTCCGTGCGTCTCTACTGAATAGTCCGTGCGTCTCTACTGAAAAGTCCGTGCGTCGTCTCTGCTGACCAGTCTTTGTGTCTCTACCGAGCAGTCCCTGCGTCTCTACTGAGCAGTCCGTGCGTCTCTACAGAGCAGTCCGTGCGTCTCTACTGAATAGTCCGTGCGTCTCTACTGAGCAGTCCGTGCGTCTCTACAGAGCAGTCCGTGCGTCTCTATTGAACAGCCTGTGCTGTGCGTCTCTACAGAGCAGTCCGTGTGTGTCTCTATTGAACAGCCTGTGCTGTGCGTCTCTACAGAGCAGTCCGTGCGTCTCTATTGAACAGCCTGTGCTGTGCGTCTCTACAGAGCAGTCCGTGCGTCTCTACAGAGCAACGTCTCTACTGAGAAGTCCGTGTGTCTCTACAGAGCAGTCCGTGCGTCTCTACAGAGCAACGTCTCTACTGAGCAGTCTGTGCGTCTCTACTGAGCAACGTCTCTAGTGAGCAGTCCGTGCGTCTCCACTGAAGAGTCCGTGCGTCTCTACAGAGCAGTCCGTGCGTCTCTACAGAGCAGTCCGTGCGTCTCTACTGAACAGTCCGTGCGTCTCTACTGAGCAGTCCCTGCGTCTCTACTGAGCAGTCCGTGCGTCTCTGCTGAGCAGTCCGTGCGTCTCTACTGAGCAGTCCGTGCGTCTCTACTGAGCAGTCCGTGCGTCTCTACTGAGCGATCTTTGCGTCTCTACAGAGCAGTCCGTGCGTCTCTACTGAATAGTCCGTGCGTCTCTACTGAAAAGTCCGTGCGTCTCTGCTGACCAGTCTTTGTGTCTCTACCGAGCAGTCCCTGCGTCTCTACTGAGCAGTCCGTGCGTCTCTACAGAGCAGTCCGTGCGTCTCTACTGAATAGTCCGTGCGTCTCTACTGAGCAGTCCGTGCGTCTCTACAGAGCAGTCCGTGCGTCTCTATTGAGCAGCCTGTGCGTCTCTACAGAGCAGTCCGTGCGTCTCTATTGAACAGCCTGTGCTGTGCGTCTCTACAGAGCAGTCCGTGTGTCTCTACAGAGCAGTCCGTGCGTCTCTACAGAGCAACGTCTCTACTGAGCAGTCCGTGTGTCTCTACTGAGCAGTCCGTGCGTCTCTACTGAGCAGTCCGTGCGTCTCTACTGAGCGATCCTTGCGTCTCTACAGAGCAGTCCGTGCGTCTCTACTGAATAGTCCGTGCGTCTCTACTGAAAAGTCCGTGCGTCTCTGCTGACCAGTCTTTGTGTCTCTACCGAGCAGTCCCTGCGTCTCTACTGAGCAGTCCGTGCGTCTCTACAGAGCAGTCCGTGCGTCTCTACTGAATAGTCCGTGCGTCTCTACTGAGCAGTCCGTGCGTCTCTACAGAGCAGTCCGTGCGTCTCTATTGAACAGCCTGTGCTGTGCGTCTCTACAGAGCAGTCCGTGTGTCTCTATTGAACAGCCTGTGCTGTGCGTCTCTACAGAGCAGTCCGTGCGTCTCTATTGAACAGCCTGTGCTGTGCGTCTCTACAGAGCAGTCCGTGCGTCTCTACAGAGCAACGTCTCTACTGAGAAGTCCGTGTGTCTCTACAGAGCAGTCCGTGCGTCTCTACAGAGCAACGTCTCTACTGAGCAGTCTGTGCGTCTCTACTGAGCAACGTCTCTACTGAACAGTCCGTGCGTCTCCACAGTAGAGCCCTGCACGGGCCTATTATCTGGGCCCGAGCCCGGCCCTGGCCCGAGGGGGTGGCGCCCCAGCCCGGCCCGGCCCGATATGGTTTCTCAATTTTCAGGCCCGAAACCCGCATCAAGCCCGCCTTTTTTTTTTTTTTTGTAACCTCCCATAACAATGTTTTAGCGTAGTATATAGTGCCGTGCACTGATATGAACGCAGACTTAGCTAGAGGGCGGAGTTATACATGGTAGTGATGTGTTGCAATGAGTTCTGTGTGTGCGGAGTGGTGCAGAGTGAACGGCCGCATCTGTATGATGCCCAGATGCTGCAACACACCTGTAAGTAACGCTATGTGCCGTCAATGACAACACTACACAGAACAACAAACACTACAGCGTGATAGAACGCTATATTCAGTGGGTGCGTTCGTAAATGTATTCTGCCGCTCTGAAAATGAAGAGCCCGAGCCCGGCCCGTGTCCGAGGTCATTATGCGGTCATCGGCCCGAAGCCCGGCCCTCGGGCTGTCGGGCCGTCGGGGCCCTCGGGCCAAGGGCTCAAGTGCAGGGCTCTACTCCACAGGAGCAGTCCGCACATGCATTTTGACGCTCAAACGTGCGTCACCATTGACTTTGCATTGAAAGCCGACGCAGCATGATCCGGTCTGAACGCGGCTTGAGGCTGAATTCTAAATGGACTTTTAAATGTTTGGTTTCACCTTTATTTTCCTTGTAACTTTCAGAATGCTGTTCTGTTCATGACCAGATACAAATACAGCTCAGTGATAAAGCTAACATTGTTCTGTGTGTTTGATATTAAGGCCTTTTTATCTCAGGCGGTGGCCAGTGACACACCTGGACACGCAGTGGACCAGTGACACACCTGGACACGCCCTGGACCCGCCCTGGACCAGTGACACGCCTGGACCCGCCCTGGACCAGTGACACGCCTGGACCCGGCATGGACCAGTGACACACCTGGACACGCCCTGGACCAGTGACACGCCTGGACCCGCCATGGACCAGTGACATGCCTGAACCCGGGATGGACCAGTGTCACGCCTGGACACGCCCTTGGACCAGTGACACGCCTGGACCCACCATGGACCAGTGTCAAGCCTGGACACGCCGTGGACCGACCAGTATCAATGAAGTACAATAATACTGGTAGGTACATCCTGAACACACTTACGGTCATCTCTTAAAACACTCTGCTGCATCATTTAGAGTGTCATAAACTTAGGTTTGAGTGAGGGTGTCCCTTTTAATGCATGCGAATATCTTACACTTAGTATAGTTAATGTCTCATTTTCAGTTTAGCTGGTCCTCACTAACACAGAGTCCTCTCAGTCCTGGTCTGTCCTGTGTGTCACACACACAGATGTTGTAAATGTCTCATATTGAATATAGATGTCCTCATTAACACAGAGTCCTCTCAGTCCTGGTCTGTTCTGTGTGTCACACACACAGATGTAGTAAATGTCTCATATTGAATATAGATGTCCTCACTAACACAGAGTCCTCTCAGTCCTGGTCTGTTCTGTGTGTCACACACACAGATGTTGTAAATGTCTCATATTGAATATAGATGTCCTCATTAACACAGTGTCCTCTCAGTCCTGGTCTGTTCTGTGTGTCACACACACAGATGTTGTAAATGTCTCATATTGAATATAGATGTCCTCACTAACACAGAGTCCTCTCAGTCCTGGTCTGTTCTGTGTGTCACACACACAGATGTAGTAAATGTCTCATATTGAATATAGATGTCCTCATTAACACAGTGTCCTCTCAGTCCTGGTCTGTTCTGTGTGTCACATACACAGGGTGCTGTATGTGTAATAAAGTTGTTACCTGTTGTTGCTTTATTGGAACAGATAAATCTAGGGTTAATGAACATATTTGCAGTTTGAGGTTGTGTAGTGCTGTGGAAGAAAATGCTTGTCCCAGTTATTTACCTGCTGTTTACAGCTCTGGTGTATATTTCTCTTGTGTCACATATCCTAACCAAACATGTCACAGGAATAGAATAGATGTGTTTCACTAGTTTATCTTAAAAGTTCCTTCTTTCCATCTTTTCATCTCCCTTGATGGATTTGAAGAATAATGGGGGCTGTTTAAATGTATATCTTAACAAGGAATAGGGGGTACAGATTATGTTTGCGGTCTTAAAAGGGGGCACAAGCACTGGTATATAGAAACTTCATCTATTTAGATGTTTTTGTCTTTTGTTGTTTTAATATTCTAATTCATCTCTCTTAATGTTTCAGAGTTGTTTCATCAAGGCGGATAACAGCAGTGAAGAAGCATCTGAGGCCTCTCATTGGTTTAACTGCCACCATTCAGCAGTGACATAAAGTCCAGGAAATGGAACACACAGTCTTGGAGAGTAGATCCATTCAAGATATTACGGATTTTGAGGTTTGGCCTTAAAGAGGTATTATAAGACTGAATTCTATATGGACATTTAAATGTTTGGTTTCACCTTTATTTTCCGTGTAACTTTCACAATGCTGTTCTGTTCATGACCAGATTATTGAGGTGAACAAATACAGCTCAGTGATGAAGCTAACATTGTTCTTTGTGTTTGATATTATGGCTTTTATATCTCAGGTGGTGGCGGTCACTGGTCCATGGCGTGTCCAGGTGTGTCACTGGTCCATGGCGTGTCCAGGTGTGTCACAGGTCCATGGCGTGTCCAGGTGTGTCACAGGTCCATGACGTGTCCAGGCGTGTCACTGGTCCATGGCGTGTCCAGGCGTGTCACTGGTCCATGGCGTGTCACTGGTCCATGATGTATCCACGGTGTGTCACAGGTCCATGACGTGTCCACGGCGTGTCACTGGTCCATGGCGTGTCACTGGTCCATGGCGTGTCCGGGGGTGTCACTGGTCCATGGCGTGTCCAGGCGTGTCACTGGTCCATGGCGTGTCCAGGCGTGTCACTGGTCCATGATGTGTCCACGGTGTGTCACAGGTCCATGACGTGTCCATGGCGTGTCACTGGTCCATGGCGTGTCACTGGTCCATGGCGTGTCCGGGGGTGTCACTGGTCCATGGCGTGTCCAGGCGTGTCACTGGTCCATGGCGTGTCCAGGCGTGTCACTGGTCCATGACGTGTCCACGGTGTGTCACAGGTCCATGACGTGTCCACGGCGTGTCACTGGTCCATGGCGTGTCCGGGCGTGTCACTGGTCCATGGCGTGCCACTGGTCCATGGCGTGTCCAGGCGTGTCACTGGTCCATGACGTGTCCACGGTGTGTCACAGGTCCATGACGTGTCCACGGCGTGTCCGGGCGTGTCATTGGTCAATGACGTGTCCAGGCGTGTCACTGGTTCATGACGTGTCCATGGCGTGTCACTGGTCCATGGCGTGTCACTGGTCCATGGCGTGTCCAGGCGTGTAACTGGTCCATGACGTGTCCACGGCGTGTCACTGGTCTAAGGTGTGAGCAGCCCGGACACGTCATGGACCAGTGAGACGCCTGGACACGCCATGGACCAGTGACACGCCTGGACACGCCATGGACCAGTGACACGCCTGGACACGTCATGGACCAGTGACACGCCATGGACACGTCATGGACCAGTGACACGCCATGGACAGGTGACGCGCCCGGACACGTCAAGGCGTGTCACTGGTCCATGACGTGTCCAGGCGTGTCACTGGTCCATGGCGTGTCACTGGTCCATGGCGTGTCCAGGCGTGTCACTGGTCCATGACGTGTCACAGGTCCATGACGTGTCCACGGCGTGTCACTGGTCCATGGCGTGTCCAGGCGTGTCACTGGTCCATGACGTGTCACAGGTCCATGACGTGTCACTGGTCCATGGCGTGTCCAGGCGTGTCACTGGTCCATGACGTGTCCAGGCGTGTCACTGGTCCATGATGTGTCCACGGTGTGTCACAGGTCCATGACGTGTCCATGGCGTGTCACTGGTCCATGGCGTGTCACTGGTCCATGGCGTGTCCGGGGGTGTCACTGGTCCATGGCGTGTCCAGGCGTGTCACTGGTCCATGGCGTGTCCGGGCGTGTCACTGGTCCATGGCGTGCCACTGGTCCATGGCGTAGTCCAGGCGTGTCACTGGTCCATGACGTGTCCACGGTGTGTCACAGGTCCATGACGTGTCCACGGCGTGTCCGGGCGTGTCATTGGTCAATGACGTGTCCAGGCGTGTCACTGGTTCATGATGTGTCCATGGCGTGTCACTGGTCCATGGCGTGTCACTGGTCCATGGCGTGTCCAGGCGTGTAACTGGTCCATGACGTGTCCACGGCGTGTCACTGGTCTAAGGTGTGAGCAGCCCGGACACGTCATGGACCAGTGAGACGCCTGGACACGCCATGGACCAGTGACACGCCTGGACACGCCATGGACCAGTGACATGCCTGGACACGTCATGGACCAGTGACACGCCATGGACACGTCATGGACCAGTGACACGCCATGGACACGTCATGGTGGACCAGTGAGACGCCCGCTGGACACGCCATGGACCAGTGAGACGCCCTGGACACGCCTATGGCAGTGACACGCCTGGACACGTCATGGACAGTGAACACGCCTGGACACGTCATGGACAGGTGACACGCCCTGGACACGCCATGGACCAGTGAAACGCCATGGACAGTGACCGGCTCTGGACACGCCATTGACAGTGGACACGCCTGGGACACGCCATGGACCAGTGGACACGCGCTGGAACACGTCATAGACCAGTGACACGCTTGGACCACGCACGGCCTGGAACGCCATGGACCAGTGACACGCCACGCCGTGTCACTGGTCCATGCGTGTCCGGGCGTGGTCACTGGTCCATAGCGTGTCCGGGCGTGTCATGGTCCATGGCGTGTTACGGGCGTTGTCACTGGTCCATGGCGTGTCCGGGCGTCATGGTCCATGCCGTGATCATGTCCATGGGTGGTTCCAGGCGTGTCACGGGTCATGGCGTGTCCAGGCGTGTCATGCTCCGTGACGTTGTCCACGGTGTGTACAGGTCCATGGCGTGTCAATGGGTCCATGCGTTGTACTGGTCCATGGGCGTTGTCACTGGTCCATGGCGTTTCCGGGCGTGTCATGGTCCATGGCGTGGCCTAGGTGTGTCATGGTCCATGACGTGTCCACGGTCTCGCAGTCGTTCGGGCGTTTCGGGTTCCTCGTGTGTCACAGGTTCCATGAGTGTCCACAACGTGTCACTGGTCCATGGCATGTACGGGCGTGTCCACTGGTCCATGCGTGTCCATGGCGTGTCACTGGTCCAATGGGTGTCCAGGCATGACACTGGTCCAAGCGTGTCCACGGCGTGTCCAGGTCGGTGAGCAGCCCGGCAGTCATGGACCAGTGAGTCGCCCTGGACACGCCATGGACCAGTGACACGCCTGGACGGCATGTCCCGGGCGTGTCATGGTCCATGAGTGTCCATGGGTGTCATGGTCCATGGCGTGTCCAGGCATGTCACTGGCCCCATGGTGTCCACGGCGGTGGTCAGGTTGTTGTGAGCAGCGACGGACACGTCATGGACAGTGAGTCGCATCTGGACACGCCATGGACCAGTGGACACGCCTGGTACACGGCCCATGTTTAGACCAGTGACACGCCTGACACGTCATTGACCCAGTGACACGCCATGGACTCTTCATGACCAGTGACACGCCATGGACACGTCATGGACCAGTGGACACGCTCTGGACACGCCATGGACCAGTGAAACGCCATGGACCAGTGGACACGCCTGGACCACGCCATGGACCAGTGACCACGCCATGGACCACATCATGGACCAGTGACACGCCATGGACACGTCATGGACCAGTGACACGCCATGGACACGTGGACCAGTGACACGCGGGCTGGGACCACGCCATGGACCAGTGAAACGCCATGGCCAGTTGACACGCCATGGTACACGCCCTGGACCAGTGACACGCATGGACACGCCATCG